TTGCAGTTCTTCTGGGATGACAGTATCACAGACTGGTATTATGGGCTCTTTTCAACAGGTGATGAAGACTCACAAACGTCTTCTGAGCAACGGAAGAGGGTCGAGGAACTGCCACTGCTGACGATATGAAAGTTCGAGTTAGAAATCATTGTTCAGACGTTATGCAAAACAGATTAAGACCAGTAAGAGTAGAAATATATCGGCACCAATCCATTTATGATTCACCGTTCTATTTATGACATCAATACAAGTACACAAAGATTGCATGTTGAACATGGGGCTTCATTCACTCCTCATTTGGTAACTTTAGATTTTTTTTTTTTCAGTGTTATGATATTGGTTCTTCTTACCGGGATACACTGCCACGGTCACACCTCCAAATTTTGGAGTGTAGAGAAACTTGAAGCTTAAAGAACCTTAAAGTATGAGCCACATTAAACCATACAGTGTTTTAAGTACTTTATCTGTGTCACATATTGTGGGATAAAGCCAGAGTACTCAGAGAAACCCACTCAGGCTAACGCGCAGCCCCACACACGGGGCGATACGCGGTAACTCGCTAACGGAGATTTGCCGCGTTAATGCTGTTATGGCGTTAACGTAGTTTTAACGAGATTAACGCTGACAGCACTAATAATTTCTTAATTTGTTCTGCGAGCATGTGAAAGAATCTGACTGAAACTTACAGGTGACAACAACATAATAATCTAATGTTGGATCAGAGTTTAAAGCGATGCAGGGAGAATGCTTGCCAACAGATATCACACACCTGCTGATATGTTGTGCCATTGCTGTTACCTGTGATCAGTGCTAAGAAGGACAAACCCTCAGCTGTGGGGAGTGAATACGGAACGGCACTGTGGCAGAAGGCTACTGACAATCTGCAAGAAACTGACACTGTTAGATGGACGCAAACCAACTTTGAATGGTATTATTTCACATTTAACCACTTGAATAATAAAGGCTTATCAACAGGAGATTTAACACTTACCAACACATCCATGAAGAAAAAGGTCAAATTTGAATTTAATATTTCATATAAAGTAAGATTAAGGCTGTATATTTGCAGATTGTAGAGAGGCAGAACTACAAACATCTAAATACAAATGAAAATCATGGAAATTTGTCAAGTGTAAGTGACTTGAGCAGTGATCAGTAGCAAAGAATGACACATGGTATTCAATTGTATTTGCAATATACATTTACATAAAGCTGTACATTTAAAGCTTTGAAATACTCAGTATGTACACCTGCATATCAAGTGGTTAGAAAGCAAACAGGCATTGAACACATTCAGCTGTATGACATTTAATAGTCTGTGTGCCAAAACGACAGATCAATAGCTGTTTGCACAGAACACCCAGTATGATCACAGCATGAAAAGAAAGCATGAATCCCGGTGTTGTGTAGTACATTCAGCAACATGATACTGGAAAAGCAGATTAAAATGTTGGTTATAAATTCAACAAAATTATTTGTTTTTAAATGCAAGCAGTGCAGTGCCCCTGCCTCTGACCAAAGTAAAACTCATACAAAGTGATGGAAACTACAAAAGATACAAAATTAGTCTAGAACTGAATACATAATAAGTGGACTTTATTCCCTTAATTAAATTGAATCATTCTTGGTGGGTCTATGGATGCATTTAAGAACAGTAGAAACATAGCAGCCACTTAGTTCCATGAAAGCTAAAGTGAAACTCATCTTAAAACTTTACATTTCCACAAACCCGGGTGTGAATTTTTCTGTTCCTGCTCGTGATGGTACATTGCTAAGTATATTGATAGTAAGCCAAGGAGGTGACCTCAACAGCATGTTCCATAAAGGACAAGAGGGGCAAAAACAGAAACCACTTAACCCCGGGGATCCAGTATGGCCTTCAACAACGCCAAATCATTTCTCTCCACATGATCATATAAATTGACAGGTGCCACATGATCCCACACCAAAATCGTTACCGTTACATAATCTGTTAAATTTATGTGGCTATGCTACATGAAATGCTGTGATTATGAGCCACGGTGAACAAGTAAACTGACATTAAAGTTTGATAAAAGTGCTTCAGGGTGTGCTAATAACTGAAGTAAAAAAAACTGTTTCCTCCCTATTGGACGATTATTTTTATACTTCGTGTTTATAGCTACCAGTTGATCAGAACACCAAAACTACTTTGCTGTGTGTTCATAAGAGGGAAAAAAAGTTACAGTTGCATTGAATAAAATAAATATGTGCATATATATATATATAATTGCTGCCCTTTTCATAAACTCCTGTGGTGTTAAAAGGCTCTAGGTATTTCATATGACCAGCATGTGAGCATTTAAGGTAAATGTTATCCCTTTAAATATTTATCTAGACTCATTTTTTTTAATGTTCAAGCTTTCCTTGAATCTTTCTTGTCTGGACATCTAAACTATGTGGCTCTCTGTTATACACTGTCTGGAGAAGCCAAATGTCCAGATACAACTAATTATTCATCTCAGGCCACAAATCCACCAATGGTTAATGTAGCCATCTTACAAATTGAGCACTTTGAAGACACTTCATGGTAAGAGGGACTCCCACAGGTTTCAGAGAGACCTCCATTTATACCACCTGTTATGACCCTAATAGGGTCTGTAGGGATTTTGATTTCTCCTGCCTTAGGTGTTGTCCTTTCCCCAGCCAACTTTACTAAGCAATTAAGGCGGAGATTTTAAGGCTGGAGAAAGGGCGCTCTAGTGCCAGAGAGTCTTGTTGGTTTGCAGCCAGGGACCCGTGTGTGGTAGCTGTTTAATCCTGTTCTGGTAGCACTTTTTGACTTACTTTTATATTTAGTCACCGACTACAGAGCCTTGTTGTGTTTCCATTCTTCTAAAGGCGATGGCGACTTGTCTCTTTAAGCTTGATTAGTTAGAACAGATTAATAAGAATATTTAATCTAACCATGTTGCCTTCACATCTTCTTTTTTTAAACCACATTTTGTTGCTTTTCCACATCCCCTGGACCTTTTAGGGAAACATGACAACAACCAACCAGTTCCACCAATTATTCATCGGATTTCTTTCAAGAGGGGTAAAAATCCCTCCAGCAAATAATCTAAGTTGGATTTCCACAACATCCAGAAAGACTAATTGACTAAATCAGGGTTCTAATAATTCACAAGTATGAATGTCTTAAATTTCCTCTGTAAAAAACTGAACAGAAAATTGGACTACTTATTGTGAAGTTCCTGAACATTTATAAAATATCAACTCCTGACAAGGATCCGTTTTGGGGGAAAAGAAAGCTCAGAACTTACTTCAAAATCAAAATTGGAGGATTTTTGAGAAACAACTGTAAAAAAAATATAAACAAAAAACTGGTATGAATAGGACCGGACTGGTAGTCTGGCATAATTGAAAGGCCACTGTGAGGATGAGAAAGCGAGAGGTGAAATTAACAAGGAGAGAAAATAGATGAAGAAAGTAATCAGAAAGGGAGCAAGTAAAGGATTCAAGTAAAGTGAACGGCTACTTTAGCTATTAGCAGTGGCTAATGGTCAAAGTGTAGCTTTTTGCTACATGTGTGCAGTGCAGCTAAGAACTAACAAAACAACAACTGTAACAACGTGATTAACAAGAATAACTGTGTGTATATATATATATCTATATCTATCTTTGAGCAATCATCTGGATTGAAAATGCCAGGACTGATTTTGTGACCGCAGACAGCCATGCTGCCCATCACTGTAACTTGTCTTTCTGGGTGGGAAGTAACAAAGTACAAATATTTTGTTACTGTATTTAAGTACAATTTTCAGGTATCTGTTCTTTACTCGAGTAGTTTCATTTTCGACTACTTTTTACTTTTACTCCCTACGTTTTTAAACAAATATCTGTACTTTCTACTTCTTACATTTTCTAAACAGAAAACGTTATGTTTGCTTTAACGGATTTGGGTCGAGTTACTTTGTCACTGCGAGCCTTCAAACATCAAACCCATTTGAAAATAATCACTTGAAAGGCAGTCCTGCGTGTTTAATAATCACCGGAGGATGTTGCATAAAAAGAGAGGACATGTACCACAGTCGGGTTAAAGTGGGAAGGTGTTTTTAACTTTAACTCGGACAACATGTGTCCTCTTTGGCTTCACCGATGTAACTAAAGTGATATACTGTATGACGCGGTAAATATGTCTCTGAGTGATAAACCTGCAGTGTTGCTGACAATACTGTTGGCTTTCCCTGTTTCCTGTAGCCTTCACTTAGTTCACTTCTGCACTGAAATCAAATTGTAGTATTCATCATGACTACAAAACAGTACAAGCATTGTTCTGCTGTGATCTTCTACACAGTTGTCTCCTGGAGCATGATTTGGCACACAGCCCTACAAACACGAGTAAGAAGTCACATTTTTTGTCTGCTTTTTCCCAGCTTACAGTAGCTAAACATATTTATGTATTAAATGACTTCTGTAATGAACTAACTGAACGCTTGTGGAGAAGGAAATGCAGTATGACTGTTCTAGATCAGGACAATGTGAATGTGTTTGAAATGAAAGGACCGCAGTGGATAAGATTTGACGTTCTCTTAATCTGCTACATGTAACCAGTGTGGAAACATTACTGTTATTGTGTGCCTTAGTGAGTGACCTCTGTGCCTGAAGAACTGACCTCAGAAAGCTGTGTCTCTATTTTGTAAGCCCTGTATGCTAAACCCAGCACAGTAAACTGGCCTTACAGGGAGGCTGTCATACAGTCAATGGGCAGAAGAGACTAACAATGCTGAGGGCAGGTGTCTGTAGAAGGCCAAGCTGTGACTGTGAGTCAGTCTAATGAGCGTGTGAATACTCAGTGTGTATGCTAGTGCACGACACATTTTGTTGTACGTTATGGTTAAGTAACAAAGACACGAGGACTCAGACATCCTCACTCCAAAGAAGGCGACTGCTGGTGCGTGTGCTGAAGGCCTGACACCCCAGGGGTGCTCCTTGGTTTATTTGGCTCTGCGCTTTGTCAATGAATGGCACTGCAACAAACAAATCGTTTATTTATTTATTTATGTTTCTGACTGTTTTTAGTATCAATTAAATCTAAAAAGCAAGTGACAGGCCACACAAAGTTGATCATTTTGGCTCCAGATTTTTTTCACGAACAGTATCCAGACCAAAAAAAGTATTATGACTAAAAGTAATCCAAGCCAAAGACAAATACGTAAAGAACAGCATTTTAGCCTGAGGTACAGGAGGAGTAACATGTAAAAGGAAGCACATTATCTGTTTGTGTCCAGGTGAAGGCAAGCTGCCAGAGCAGGCTAAACTGTAAGTACCGTGCAGCTGGTTCCTGCTGAGATATCAGGTGTAACAGAATTTTTAAGGCCCGTCAAGCATCTTTCAAAATAACTGTCAGTAGACTCACATCACAAGAAGCTTCACATCATCTGTCAATCAAGAAGTGGTTACACAAGAGGCCAGTTTCAAAACAGATATCAACCTTGATTAACAAGCGTATTTCTTTTCACTCACTCACTCGGTTTAGGCAGTCTCTTCTCCCAGTTCAAACCACACCATGATGCTACAGGTCATCCAGCTCCAGGATGACTCATGCCAGGCTGAATAACATATGTCAGGTTCACTAACTTTGGTGAGGTGAGCCCTCAGCTATGCTGAAATCATTCATTCTTTTACAGATGCTACACTGTTGGCATGCCATTACAACCAAGTCTACCATGACAGGAGTGAGTCCGAGTAATGCTTAATCACTTCCGCTCAGTGTCTATGACAGCATATTACAGAAAAAGTGATTTTAGGGAAAATAAATACATGAAAGAATTCAATGATGGTTCTGGAGGATATGGTAGCTTTCCAAGAAAACAACACAGTGATCTACTAACTAATGTGTTAATAGCTAATGTGCTCTTCCCTATATATCCATGCCATACATGCAGTGTGTTCTGTGATTATGTTCATGGGTCAGCGCTTCTTAAAAAGAATATGCAGAGAAAAGGATTTCCTCAAAAAAAAATCCTTAAAGGAATGAACACTGATTAACTTAAGCTAGGTTATTCATTTTTAGGGTAAATATCTGGTAAAGACTATAAATTGGTCTTGGAATGATGGATCCTTGAAAAATCTAAAATATTTGGATGTCCAGTCTCTGCTATCAGATTTAGAGGCCTGTAGAGAGCACAGTGTTGAAGGTGGGGGCTGCTGTATTCTGTACATTTCTCGTATACAAGGCACATAATTCATATTGTTTAACCCTCACATACTGTTCAGGTCAAATTTGAGCAGTTTTGACATTTCACAGCAGGAAAAACATCCTTCATTGCGTTCTTTAGCCACAAAATGTGATGACTTTTACTAAAATGACCAAAAATGGACAAAAAGAAACACACAGAAGTGTATCTTTCCCTTTGAATCGTTTCAGGCAAATCTGAAATTTGATGGGTTGGAGAGCCTGACGCAGCCTTGAGTACTGCGCAGAAAAGAAAAATCAGAAATGTGTGGCGTCTTCAACTAATAAAATTATTAAACTTTTTCTTCCTTTTAACGAAAACTCTAATCTTTGGGGAAAAAAACTTAACCAGAAAACTGTGTGTTGGCTACAAGAACACATGAGATGAGATGGTACGGTTGGTATACTATAGTATCAACTGATCATACGGTGATCATACAGTTTAAGGTCCCTCATCCCAGCTTCCTGGTCATCTTAAAAGATTTTCTCCATCCCAAACCTTCCAAACAGCCTTCAACTGCAATTACACAGACCTTTCAAAGGCAAGCGGAGGGACAGTGAACATGCATAGCTGAGTGTATGGCTATATATAAAAAAGAACACTGGGTGTTGCTAGAGATGAACAAAAAATACTGAGGGATGAGCTTTATCATGGCAACACCCTGGACAAAGAAGACCACAACGGGAGGAGTGTCCCAAGAATGTACACTGGCCTGCAGCGAGGGAAGGAAATGAAAACGAGCAGCTGTAGACAATTGTCCACACAACCTGTGGGCTCCACGAGAGTAACTGAGTGCTCAAGCTATGCATCATTATCTGTGCCATGAGGATTTTCACCGTAGTCTAGGACAGAGGACCCACAGCAAAAACACTGCTTCCTCTGTGTCAAAAATGTGTCGGTTTAGAGGATATGAGACAGACTACCAATCAATGTGAGTATTAAACTGAATACAGAGTACAGTGTTTCATGTGTCATGAGCCCCATCTAAACATGTAAGTGTCCAGTCAATGTGTAGTCAACCTGATTCATCTAAATGCTAAAAACTTTGGAAAGTCTTCGTTAATGTCGTCCTGTGAACCAGTCAGCAGTCTCAGAATAAAAGAAGGCGGGGACGTTTGTGCTCCATATAATCCCTGAGCAAAGTCACTGAACATTCAGAACCCACTGGCCACGGCTTAGGCACAGGAAACGGGAAACCAGTCTGTCCTCCTTTCTGTGAGCCCCCTCTTAGGTGATAAAAGAGAAGCGTTATGGGGGCTGCAGTTTGTTAGAAACGGGGAGCTCAGTGCAGTAGCCTTTGACAGACTTGCAGTACAGCGTCATTCCCGGGGCCTGTAGGAGCTGTAGAATCTGGGGTAGAGGGGCGTGTAGTGTGAGGAATGGCTGTAGGAAGTGGAGGTGCCAGAGGTGAGGTAGGAGCTAGAGGGGGTAAAAGCAGAAGGGGAGCTGTAATAGGCAGATGAATAGCTGTGGGAAGAAGATGGGGAGTAAGGGAAGGAGTAAGGGGAGGATGAGGAGGGAGTGTAAAGGACGGATGAGCGTGTCATGCTGGGCAGGGGACGAGTTCGAGGTGAGGGGCTCCACGTGGACCGTCTGAGACCCAGACCAGGGGACCGATAGGGAGAGGAGGGAGCAGATCCTGGCTGGGTGGGCCTGGTAGTGGGGGAGAGAGGAGGGGTGTGAGTGTGTGGAGTGCAGTGCCTGGATAGGCCTGAGGGGCGAGCGGGAGCAGGGGAGATGTTGGCGCTGAAACTGGGGGAGTCGACCACAAACGTCCGCACCCCAACCGTCCACTGGGAGTGAGAAACCCTCAGAGGGGTTGAGGGTGGGGTCTGTGCTGAAGGAGGCGAGGGGGGCTCCAGAGAAGGGGGGCTCCCTGGCATTGGAGGGGCACTCAGCGAGGCAACCGATGGTAATGACGGACTGTGAGGGGATGCGTGCGAGGTGAGGGAGGTGGTAGCTGAGGCCAGATCCGCAGTGGCTGGGCTAAGGTGGTCAGAGGGATCATTGCGAAGAGCTGGTGTGGGGCTGATAGAAGGGAGGCTGCCAGGGGCCAAAGCTGGACTGGACCCTTGAGCAGGATTGGAGGCTGTAGTCAAAGTCGAGGGACTTACTTTGGGGGTGCTGGTTTTTCCACGGGTCAACCTGCTCCCCCGGGTGCGATGGGACTGCTCCTGATCAAAGGCCAAGTCCTCCAAACGCTGGGTGAGGGCCAGTTTCTGCTGGATGGCCATCCGCAGGAGAGAGTTCAGAGTCTTCTTCTCATCCTCGGCTGCAGCCAGCTGCCTCTGCATCTCATCCAGCTGGGTCACATACTCATCACACCTGCACAAAGCAGACATTTGAGTAGTGTAGAAAATGAACTAAAATGTAAAATGTGGAAAGAAAGACAGATGATGTTTGCACTCTAATTGGATAGCTACACATTACCTGGTGGAATGTCTAAGTTTGAGTATGGTGAAAAAGATACGTGATGCTAGTTAATAAGCTCCAGATAAAAGCAGCTGGGTGCTGTGTGGAACATTTGTAAAGACTGAAACAAGTAAAATGAGGAAAATGTAAATGCATGAAATATCAACCTATTCTTTAAGATGACAAAGTCTGTTGACTGAGAGGAAACACAAAGCTGAGTTTTTGGACCGTTTGTCTTTAGAAATAGAGCTGGGCTGTGATGTACATTAGTACATTAATGAAGTACATTCCTGGTTGTCTGTGTGGGTGCTCGGTCATCCAGATCATGGTAATCCTAAGGAGCTTGGAAAGAGAAATGACTGGACTTCTTATTACATCCTGGTTAAATTCTTTAGAGGCTTTCCCTGACACACTAACCCACAGGTATCGAACTCCAGGACTCGAGGGCCGGTGTCCTGCAGGTTTTAGATCTCACCCTGGGTCAACACACCTGAATCAAATGATTAGTTCATTACCAGGCCTGTGGAGAACTACAAGACATGTCGAGGAGGTCGTTTAGCCATTTAAATAAGCTGTGTTGGATCAAGAACACATCTAAAGCCTGCAGGACACTGGCCCTCGAGGCCTGGAGTTCGACACCCCTGCACTAACCCAACACATGGATTCTCAAAGAGTTTCTGGAAATGTTTGTGCTTCAGTATGTTCTGTTTTGTTCTCTGACCTGGTAGCAAACATGGCTCGCAGAGAGGAGAACGTGGCGGCGTCTTCCTTCAGGGCCTTTAATTCGTTCCTCAGCTTTGTCATGGTGTCGGTCACCATGGACTTCTCCGCCTCATACTTACTCTTCAGGTTGGCCAGAGCCACTTCTGCTGTCTAGTTAAACACACAGACATATTAGTGACTGTATATTAAGCCCCTTTTCCATTAGTACCTACTTGGATAAACTGGTTTTGAATTACTGTGAAGTGTCTGTGAAGGTTCATCGTAGTCTAAAAAGCTTGGAAAGAAAAGCATCTGGACTTTAAGTTTCTTGAAGACGTTTCACCTCTCATCCGAGAAGCTTCTTCAGTTCTAAAAGCAATTTGTGGAGAGTTCCAGATTTTCAAGCCCTATTGGGAGTGTCCCTAAGAGGTTCCTCTGTCTAGGGAGAATCAGAAGGGCAAATGGAACAATACTGTCAACCCTTATGTAGCAGGTTTGTCAGAGAAACTCCGGAGAGTCTTCTCAAAGCACGACATCCAAGTGTACTTCAGACCAGCCACACAGTCAGACAAAAACTGGTTCATCCCAAAGACAAGTTTAACAATGTGGTGTATGCTGTACAGTGTAGTGAGGAATGCTCAGACCTCTACATTGGAGAAACCAAACAGCCACTTCATAAACACATGGCACAACATAGAAGAGCCACCTCCATAGGACAACACTTGGCTGTCCATCTGCATCTAAAGGTCAAAGGTCACTCTTTGAGGATGCCAATGCTTACAATTTGGACAGAGAGGACAGATGGTTTGAAAGAGGAGTAAAAGAAGCCATCTATGTCCACTGTGAGCGACCATCTTTGAACAGAGGAGGTGGCTTATGACACCAACTGTCTGCCACCTATGATCCAGTTTTGAGATCCTTCCCAGACGCCTTAACGCCCACTCACATCCTGGGTCATTTGACCTCAGTAAATCACATGATAGGGTGGGGCCAGGTTTCACAATGGGTTCATCCAAAACCTTAGCTGATTGTGATTCACACCTGTTTTCACACCTTGGCTCGTGTGATTAGGTAGAGGATCAATAGGGTTTCCAGGACCCTCTTATGGACACTTATCTGACAGCCAATTGACATGAAGTCACATTTTAGTACCTGCTCAAATCGCTTGGAACCCCAGCTGAGCAGGTACCTGGTATCAGGTACTATGACCTTGATCCAAGTAGGTACTCGTATAACAGGGGTTTTAGTGTATATTATGTATACCGATTCAGAATGACTTTCCTTGACTATTTGTCTAGAATATTTAGCAGTGGACAGCAGTAATCAGTTGTTTGCAAATATCATTTATATGTTTCATATGCATAACGGAGAGGAAGAAAGCAAATGTGAGATGTACATGGCCAACATGTGAGGAAGTCCAAGAACCAGTTTTTAGGAAGAAGGGAAGTTGGCATCTGTGACTGTTAGAAAGAAAGCACTTAAGCATAAAAACCAAACTGCTCCGTCCATTCAAACCAACAGTTCTTTTCTTTTTCACTGTCTATGAGAGAGTAGAAAAGCACTATATAAGAATCAGTCCGTTTACCATTTATTTACATGCTTATGTCACTACTTGTTGGGTTGGTGCTTAAAACTCTGAGGGGTTTTACTTTTTTGTTAAATACACGTAGGGAAATGTCAGCAATGGAAAATTATTGAAATATTGTTGCCTATAATAACTTAACCATCACGTTTCCATACTCACCTGTTTGTTAGCCTTGAGCACCAGTCGAAGAGTGGCTATCTGCTCTCTCTTGGTGCTGAGTAAAGATTTGAGCTTCAGGATCTCCTCCATGCAGCTTTCCTTATCCTTATCCAAGAGAGGAACCAGTTCCCGGGCTGCAGTCCTCTGTTTGGACAGCTGCAGTGACCTGTCCACTGCCCGCTGTAGGTGTTTCACCTGGGGAGGAGACAGGAGCAGATAAGAAAAAAGGAAACCACTGGAGGTGTCACATCTTATGCCGGAAGAAAAGAAGGTGGTAGAGAGGAGGAACAACGATTAACACTATATTGCCTAAAGTATTTGCTCATCTGCCTTCACACGAACATGAATTGGACCATGTCACCACTACTCTAGAGTCCAGTGGTGGCGTGCTTTATAGCATTTGAATTGTGTTTGGTGATGTAAGGCTTGGATGTAGCTACTCGGCCATGGAAACCCATCCCATGAAGCTCTCTACACACTGTTCTTGAGCTAATCTTTACAAGTTTGGAGGTCTGCAGCGATTGACTCGGCAGAAAGTTGGAAACCACAGCCACTATGCACCTCAGCATCCGCGGAGCCCACTCTGTGATTTTATATGGCGTACCACTTTCTGACTGACTTTCTGTTGATCCCGATTGCCTCCACTTTGTTATGTACCACTAACAGCTGCCTGTGGGATATTTAATAGTGAGGACCTTTTCTTTAAAAAAATGTTTGTAGAAGCAGTCTGCATGCCCAGGTGATTGATTTTATACACCCATGTTCATGGAAGTATTTGGAACACCTGAATGCTTGTAGGGATGAGAAAAGACCTTTGGCAATATAGCAGCACATCAGGAGGTACAGGCAGATGTACCTGGTCTCTAATGATGGCGCTGAGGTTGTAGATGTTCATGGGCTCCCTGCGCAGCTCACCAGCAGGCTCCATGGCTGGCGATGAAGATGACGATGATGATGAAGAGGCACTGATGCTAGGTGAGCGGGTTGGAGGTGTGCTAGGTGGCAGGCTCTGCTCAGATGGCACCTGAAGGACCTCTTTCTCCACTCTTCGGCTCCCTCCATGTAAGGGCTCTTTGGATGGAGACTCCGAGGGCGTCCGCGACTCTCCTGGAGTTGAGGTTGTTGAAGCAACAGCAGCAAGCCGTCTGGCTAGGCGTGGTGTGAGAAGAACTTTGCTGTTGTCTGTACACATGGCTTTGAGACTAGAACTAAGGCCCCTGAGGCCCCTGCCTTGTCTGGAAGAATAGAACAGATAATGGAACAGAACCTTTAGTGTCATAGGTGCTTTAAACCTGTTCTTTCTCAACTAAGACATCAAGTAAAAGAAAGCAAGCAAACAGCTCAATGCTCACCAAACCCTCACCCTTAAGCTCCCAGGCCTCTCGTAGATGATATTATTTTTTAAAGAAGTTTTTATAGAACAGACAAACACACCTATGATGTGAGTGGTTTTATTTATTATTTGAATTTCCATGGATACTCTAAGAGCAGTAAAACAGTCACACCTGTAGTAATCCAGCATGACACGGTTGGGCGTCTCATCGTTGCACAGGCAGACATGGTGGTAGAGCTGGGCGAGCTCCTCACTCAGGGTTACCAGCTCATCCTGAGCTGCGTTCAGTGCCCCTTGGCTCTCATTGGCTGCTGACTGAACAGCCTGCAATTCAAACTCCAGGCTACAAATCTGAAAAGAGAGGAGAAGGAAATGAGAAAAAATTAACATATGCACAATTGTTAAGTACCTGGGACACATAAATAAAGTGTCCCAGGTACTTAAATTTAATAATCGAAATTTTAATCATATACGTAATAATTTAAATATGAATGTTGCAAAAACTTATTTTTACTCAATGATCATCTCTCATATGGACTATTGTTTGACGTCCTGGTCACTTGCTTGTCCAACAACACTAAAACTATTGAAAACATTTATAAAAGAAGTTTAAAACTACTTGACAAAAAACCGACTTCCCACCACCACTGTCATGTGTTAAAAAAAAACATAAATTACTGAACTTCAATAACTTAGTGAAACTTAAAAGAGTGAGTTTAATATATAAAGTCTTACACTCCCTTGCTCCACCACCACTAAAGCAGTTCATTAGGCATAAAGAAAGCTCAGACAGGACCACTCGAGCTACAATCCGAGGAGACTTGTTTATACCCCACAGACGGACAGCATTTGGGCAGAACGTCCTCTCTGTTAAGGGAGGCCATCTGTGGTTAAAAACTGGTTATGGACAAATCAAGTGTGTGATCATGTATGAGTTGTATAGTTTTAATGTTTTATTTGGGAACAGAATGGTGTGTATGTGTAAGTTTGGTGATGGAGTTTTTATTATGAATGAATGATGAATTTTTATGAATTATTATGTCTATTTTTTTATGTTTAAGGACAACAGATGGAAATTAGCCTTTGGCTATAATCTGGCATGTTTACATTCATGTAATTTTTTTTTTTTTTTACATTTATGTTCATTAACATGCACTGTCCTAAATAAATAAATAAAATAAAAAAACAACAAAAAAACAAAACTGAAATTGTAGTCCCCCAAAAAACAAAAAGCAGAATATTGATTGATGTCCCAGAAGTTCAACACTAGCTGTTTCTCAGTGAAATTCTTTCTCTTTCTTGGCTCTTGGTGGAGGTGGACGCATCTTTTTCCCCTCTCCCTCCCTTATCTTTTCCCGCTTGGCTTTTATGTCCTTGTCAAGTCTTGTCTTGAAGTTCTCCAGAGGCCTGCTAATGTACTAATCATTTGATTCAGGTGTGTTGACACAGGGTGAGATCTAAAACCTGCAGGACACCGGCCCTCGAGGCCTGGAGTTTTCTACCCCTGAGTTAAACAAACCCTTCTCATTGCTATGAGCTGAAGGATAGTTGGTATATTCCAGTCTGCTCCTACCATTACCACTGAGCCTACTCTTTACCATTGATATCTGTGCTTCACCCACATTATTGTAAGTGCTTTTCTCCCCTTACTTTACTCAGTGTCCTCATCCTTTCCATGAACTCTTTGTTGTTTACTTAGCTGTTCGTAACCAAATGCTGTTCCCTTCAGAACAGAGATAATAAATGTGTCACCCTGTTACTCAGTATCTGAGAACTGGAATAGAGAACCATCTCTTTGCTTTCATTCAAACATACTGCATATCGGCTTCAGCTTTCATTCCCCATCTGTCCACTACCTTCATTTTCCTCCACCTATCTGTGAGCCGACTTCCTTATTCTCATGCACTATTCTTACAACTTTGCCAAATCAGTTTTCAGGTTTGCAGCCCGTTTGTTGCATGACTGCAGGAGCTGGTGTCACCAGCACTCTGTAGCTGACATCACCATCCTGCCTTAGCTGGTATAACCACTGTAAAAACCTATATAAATCTGTGAAGAGACAGCTGAACACTGTTTGAACTGAACACTCCTCTCAGAGAAAGACAACAGCAGCCACATTCATTGGAAAGCAATAAGTGATACTTTCACATCCACCTGTCCTCCCGCAGCCACCAACCCCGAGTCTGATAGACAGGGAGGCCAGTTCTCTCTGCAGAGGGCCTCCAAACACAATCCACTAGGTTTCATTCACTCAACACACAAATTCATGAAACTGGCAAAACTAATCTTACCTTCACATTAAGTTCACAGTGTAAAGATAGAGAATGTGAAACATTCACTCTCACAGACTCACAGGAGAGGAGAGGAAACAGACTCTATGACAACAGGCAGTATGACTTTGTTACCTTATCCCGTCCCTCCCGGCAGTTCTTTTCCAGAGAGGCAACCTGCCTCTCCAGCTTCTGGAGCTGACTCCTTTGCCTTGGCTTCTCCTCCACAGCTCCCTCCACACACTGAGCAAGCTTCTCATGGAGCACTTTTAACTCTGCCTTGAGCTCCACCACCTCTGTCACAGCCACACGGTACTTGCACTGCAAGATCTCCAGACTGGGAGTTTGGTATGAAAATACCAGACTTTTACTCTTCTCCTCTGCAGTTTCTCCTTCCTCCTCAGCCTCATCGTCTCTATCCAGCACCAGCAGACTTTCACAGTTGAGTTGAGAGGTGGGACTGCTACAAGCCTCCTGGCTGACCCTTCGATGAAGACAGCGGAGAGCAGAGACTTTCTGGCTCAGGCGGAGGGTCTTCTCGTGCTGCTCAGTTAGGGCCCCCTGGGTGTGCTGCAGCTGAGTCTGGGACTCCTGCAGGCTCGTCATCAGTGCTGCTTTCTCATGTTCAACCTGAAGAAGCCAAGTGCATGATTAAGGAAAGCCGTATCCCGCGTGACTTAATAAACTGCAGTTTCTGAGGTTACAGTGATGTCAACATAATCGTTGTAAGAAAGTAAAAAGATAAGAGGTGCAACCACAATCCCATTTCTGAAAAAACTGAGAGGCTGTTTAAATGAAAATAAAAACACAACATTTAAATGGGAAGTAATTCAGTGACAGTAGCACAGATATCACAATCTGACCATCTTCTGGAAAAAATCGTTTTAATATCTAAACGTATTAAAAGGGGAAAACCAAAGATTACGCTGCTACTGATGTGAAGATGTGAATTAGAACCCGTTCAGGAAGAAACTGTTCTGAGCCGGTACTTGCCGCCAAGGCCGTGTATACTTGTGTCCATGTTTGACACCATCATCATCTAAGCGACACCTAGAAATGTTTCCTTGTCTGCCACCAGAATGAGATTGTCCAGCACTAATTCAAACTAAAGTTCATCAGCAACTGTGCAAACAAACCCAGAAGCAGCAAGCTGCAACCTGGAAGCCACTGGCTGTTGGTGGCTAAAGCGTAGGTGGACGTTAGCTGTTAGCCTAGCCCTTATCTCACTGATATATTTCACATACATTCTTACTAACTGGGCTTCCTGGGGACCACAAGAACAATTTACTTTGAGAATCACACAGATGCACTGATTTCCAGTTTTCAGCCAGGAACAGTTATCCCAGAAGACCAATTATGAACCGGTGTGTTTCATGCACATTTTGTGCACAGCAGCGAGCCACATGCTACACTGTTGGCATGTAAGTGAGTGAAGACATCAGTGCATCTCTAGTCATAACAGCAAAACAGGAATAATAGCCAGATATATTTCTTCTTAAAGCATTATTAGTTATGTCATCCAAAGAAAAGCTGATTTTTTTGTTGTTGGTTTTTTGTACTTTTATTCAAAGTACATGCTACATTTTTCCTCAAAAAGTACATGCTACATTTTTCCGCAAAAGCTTATTTATCATCCTCACAGTTTTTAGTCATATTAAACAAACACTTTTTGTGCTCAGTTTAATCCCCCCAGGGTCAGTAAATCTCTCCAGCATGCTCTGGGTCTGCCACTTTTCTAGCCTAGAACGCCTCACCCACGAGATGCTCAGGAGGCATCCTGGTTCTCTCTATGAGGGGAAGTAGCAGCTCTACTCTAAGCTCCACACCCTACTTCAGAGGAAGCAAATTTCTGCTTATATCTATGATCTCATTCTTTCTATCTCCTGCTTCATTCACCCTTCACTCACGAACATCCTTAAATTCGTGCATTTTTGTGCTTTCCCGGTCTTGAACCACGGGCTCAAACTGGGAGGTGCTGATTCTCTTCACACTTGCTTCATACTCAGCTGCACAGCACTCCAGTGCAAGCTGGGGGCAGATGAACCCAACAGAACCATCATCTCCAAATAGCAGAGACGAGATCCTGAGACCACCAAACAGTCCACGGCTTGGCTGCTCCTAAAAAGCCTGTTCCTAAATGCCTTGAACAGAACTGGTGACGAAGCAGTCTGACTCACTGCTGGTAATGTGAAGCAGACTGGGTGCGGTTGTAGAAGTAAATTAATTTACTTTGACATAAACTATTACATTTATTAAACTGACTGTCTTCCTTAGTCTACATGTCAGGATGATATCATTGGAACGTACCGCTATCAGCTGCTGCTTGAGCTTCTGAATCTCTGTCAGGTTCATCTCAGTAAGTAGGTCTGATGTGGCGGCCCCCTCAGTTTTCAGACACTGCCTTCTGCACTCTCCATTAGCCCTGAGCGCTGAGCCCACAGCCGTCACTGGTCCTGAGCCACTCTGAAGGTGACCGTTACATCTGGCAGATTAGAGCAGAAAGTGTCTTGTCACAAGCTATAGTGTCAATAACAGTAAGAAGAAAAGTTTTAAAGCAACTTCATGTAAGCAACGACCTTTGAACACAAGCAGCTGTGGCCAGTGACCAATTAGTAACTGCTGCACCCCCCCTTACTCTCCCATTTCTGTACATTACAGTCTGAATGCACTGGGTCGAGGAGACAGGTCTGTGTGCCTGTGTTTGTAGGTGTGATATCCACCTTGTTGGCTCCTCTGTGTTTGGGGAGAGCAGAGTAGTTGGGGTAGCAGTGCCACTGGGCGGTGCTGAGGAGAATATTAGATTTGCACTCCCAGTGTAGGCCACATCACACATGCTGAGGTGGTGAACAAGTTCTCTTCGCAGGTGGTTCTTCTGCTCACGCTCACTCTTCAGAGACTCCAGCGCCTCCTCCAGCTGGGCGTCTGAGATGTCCTTCAAACGCAGTGCATCCTGTAACTGGCTGGTCAGCAGCTCTGTCTCCTCCTCCAGAACTTTGATCTCATGTTTCAGGCCTTCATACTCCACCTGAACAAGAGTGGACATTCACATTCAAATGTATGAACCTTTATTTTGAGTTGCTGCTACATTGTTTAGGTGATTAATATATATTAAAATCAAAATTGCTTTGAAATGTTTGTAAACACAATATATATTTATTCTAACCTTTATGCATATATTTTGTGCAATTGCAAATCTAAATACTTCAGCTTAGATAGGCATGTTGATGCCCAGAGTGACAAGTAGGTCCAACTTTGTAAAAAACACATTCCTCCTGCTGCTGGTATCACTCACCAGGCTAAGCAGGTTTTGTTACTGTGGTCACATGCCACAGTAGATTGAGGGCTGCTGATGCTAACAGACTCAATAAACTGATCTGCAAGGCCAGCAATGTTGTGGGGATGGAGCTGGACTCTCTTAAGGTGGTGTCGGAGAGGCGAATGTTGTCCAAGATAAAGCCAATGTTGGATAATTCCTCCCATCCACTCCATGACATGCTGGCTAGCCACAGGAGCACGTTCAGTGAGAGACTGACATTACCAAAAAGCACCACTGAACGACACAGGAAATCACTCCTGCCTGTGGCCATCTCCCTGTACAACTCATCCACCTAACACACTGTATACTGCAATAGCTACACCCTTTTTGCACATGCTCTTCTTTCTTATTTAGATATTAATCAGTAAGTGACTTAAATGTATATATTGTGCTATTTCTTACTTCCTGTATTGTCTGTTATTCTTACTGTTTGGACTGGAGCACTATAACCAACATAAATCCCCTAGGGATCAATAAAGTATTCTGAACATCTTCTCCTTGACAGTTCACAAATAAAGCCAAACCCCCACCTTTTGTTTTGCCAGTAGCTATCTCCCCATATGTGGGTGAAACCAGGCAGATCCACATTGGTCTCAGATGTACTGATTCAACCATGTTTCAGAAAAACATGAGTGAGCACTGACGGTATATGTGGTCGGGCGTGGCCTGCGGTGCCGTGCAGCGAGGGTGGACGCACCTGCACGGCATCCTTAATCAAGCCCGCCGAGTTAAAACACAGGGACTCGGGGGTTGGTGGGAGTTGTGGTGTGATGTGATTTAAATAAAATGGCTCAAAACTATGATCCCTGGACCCGCCGCGTCTCATTTACACCACAGTATACTTTCTGAGTTTTCACCAATATCTCTAGATTATCACTTTTGTTGGGCAGAGCTGACATTTCTCATTATGACTGCTGCCAGAAAGGGTCTCTATCTCTGATTCCAATCCTTCACCTTTGCACCAGCACAGCAAACACAAAAACACCTCTTGTTACAGGCCCTGGCCTTGGAAGAAGGGAACCAACCTCCTGTCAAGCAAATTCAAGCATGGTAACCCACACAGATGGTTTGCTGTTGGAACCTGTGGTTACTTCCGCGGGAAGTCTATTGAACCAGCTGAGGGACGCCGGACCAGTCAGCGACTGATTGAGCACAGGATGGTATCTTCTAGATTTGCTCCGTTTCAATGAAAAAGAAAATCATTGAATTGAATTTCATCAGCATAACAGTGATGGGAAATGTCCTCGAAGGGGCTCAATATATGTTGGAGGGGAAGAAGATATATTAAAAACAATAAAGGCCCCAAAACCGAACCTTGAGGGACACCGTAAGTAAGGGAGGTAGAGGATGACCTGAAATCAGAGACTGCCACAGAAAAAAAATCGGTGATGTAAATATGAGGAGAACCACTCCTAGTCATTTAACACTGAACAGGTAGAAAAACCAACCGTAGTGACTGACTGATTGAAGATTCTCCATAATACAATGTAGTGAATCCACAGACATTGGCCTGACAGTGGATGAATACTGAAATGCTGCACATGCTCAGCGTCTGACTAATCTTAATGTCTTACCTGTCAAACTGGAAGTTCCACAGGAAAGTGAAATGAATCGGAGATTATGAAGAAATCTCATCTTCGCCCATATTCTAAATCACTTTGTGTGCTTCATTTCTTTTATATCCATATGTTTGGATTGTGATAAAATACTAGATGACAAGGAGAAAATCTACAGATGCAGAAAGGCCCTGGAAGTTTTGGACCCAGGACCACCTGTTTGCTCTAGCCTGACCACATATTGTCATCTGCGTGGGCATACCTGATATAAAGCTGGGACAGGCTTCTGACTCCCCTGCAATTGTTGCTGGTTAAGTGGGTAAGAACACTAACTAATGGATGGATTCTCAGAGTTCACTCAGAAAAGAAGTATACAGAAAGACAGAGGGCTGTCAGCAGCAGCTAGGGACATAGAAGGGTAATCTTTTCTTTGTGCTAGATGAATTGTGCTTCTTTAACTTTTGGACCTCTTAGTAGATAAGTACACCTTTGATTGACATCTGAGCCAGCAGGGAATATACATAACTGTCTGGTAACTGTAGCTAATAAGTCAAAGACAGCGCTAAAGTCTAATGACCTTCAGCATCATACATACACTTTGAAACAGTTTCACGACGTTACTTGAGCACTGTCTGTACCTGACTCTGTTTAAGGGTTGACACCAGTTTCTGCAGAGAGATGTTCTCCTCCTCCAGCTCGGTGTAGTCCTGGAGAAGCCGTGACTCTCTGAATTTGTATTCTCTGATCTCTTCTCGCATTCGGGTCCGCTGTAGCTCCAACATCTCATTGCTCTGCTAAGACAGCACAAAATGAGAGCTGGAGCTGCTTATGACACAGTTCTCACAAAGGAAGGTAATGTAACCAGTATTTAGAGTTTGCAGGATGAAATTTTTAAAAGAGGGAAGGTGAAGGATGGATTACAGTATATCTCCACACAAAACCATGAAAAACTGACATAAAAAAAAATGGAGAATGAAGCTCATATACAGTCGTGGTTAAAAGTTTTGAGTATTTGCAATGTTGTCCCTTCTTTTTCAAGACCTCTGCAATTGGCCCTGGCATGCTGTCAATCAGCTTCTGGGCGAAATCCTGACTGATGGCAACCCATTCTTTCATATTCAACACTTTGAGTTTGTCACAATTAGTGGGTTTTGGTTTGTCCACCTGCCTCTTGAGGATTGATCGATCGCAAGTTCTCAATTGGATTAAGGTCTGGGGAGTTTCCTGGCCCTGGACCCAAGATTTCAGTGCGTTGTTCCCCAATCCACTTAAGTTATCACTTTGGCCTTATGGCACAGTGCTCCGTCATGCTGGAAAAGGTGTTGTTCTTCACCAAACTGTTGGATGGTTGGAAGAAGTTGCTGTTGGAGGATGTTTTGGTCCCATTCTTTATTCATGGCTGTGTTCTTTGGCAAAATACTAAGAGAGCCCAATCCCTTGGATGAGAAGCAGCACCCCACATGAAAGGTCTCAGGATGCTTTACTGTTGGCACGAGACAGGACTGATGGTAGCGCCTACCTTTTCAGATGCCCCAAACAATTGGAAAAGTGCTTCATCAGAGAAAATGTCTTCACCCCAGTCCTCAGCAGCCTACTCCGTGTACCTTTTGCAGAATATCAGTCTGTCCCTGATGGTTTTTTTGGGGAGAGTGGCTTCTTTGCTGCCCTTCTTGAACCCAGGGCATCTTCCAAAAATCTTCGCCTCCCTGTGCGTGCAGTTACACTCACACCTGCCTGCTGCAATTCCTGAGCTCACAGCTGAATCATCTTTAGGAGACAGTCCTGGTCGTTGCTGGACTTTCTTGAGCGTCCTAAAGCCTTCTTCACAACAACTGAACCTCTTTCCTTGAAGTTCTTAAAGAGCCAATAAATGGTTCATTTACCTGCAGTCTTAGTAGCAACAACATCCTTGCCTGTGAAGCCCTTTTTATGCAGCACAATGACGTGTTTTCTTGTAGGTAACCATGGTTAACAGGAAGAACAATGATTTCAAGCCTCACACTCATTTTAACAATTCCGGTCTGCTTTTCTAATTCAGTCAGCATGACATAATGATCTTCAGCCTTGTGCTCGTCAACATTTTCACCTGTGTTAACGAGAAGATTATTGAAAGGATCTCAGCAGATCCTTTTATGGCAGCGATGAAATGCAGTGGAGGCTTTTTTTGGGATCAAGTTCATTTTCATGGCAAAGAAAGACTTTGCAGTTCGTCGGATCGCTCTTCATAACATTCTGGAGTAATGAAATCATAGCAAATTGCCATCATAAAAACTGAAGTAGGAAAGTTTCTGAAAACCAATGTTTGAGTCATTCTCAAAACTTTTGGTCATGACTGTATGTAAAGGGTTTTTAAAGTCTGGTTGTACTGAAGTCTCTGACAAAACAGCCCTTCCAGCCCCTTGTCCATGAACTCGGTAGTCACTTTCTTGATGAGAATGTGATCGAATTTCAAGTCTTATTAAACATGCCATGATCATGATTTTGATGACACTTTAAAAACACTCTATCAAGTTATCCATAAGTCTAAACGTCCAGAGTAAGTATCTCTATTAAATATGAGAGCCTTATGATTGTACCGTACCTCCCTGAGCTCCTGCAGCAGGCTGCTCAGGTGCTCGCTGTCAGCCTGTGCACTGGAGGCAGCCACTCGACTGTGATTCAGTTCCAACTGGAGCTCCAGGAGACGACCCCTAAAGTAGGCCTCCTTGGTGGCAGACTCCTGCAGCAGTGTCTCCTCATTGTTCTCCCCGTCCTCTGCGACCTTACGCTGGGTGGAGTATGCCTGGCCGAATGCCTGGAACAGGACAGGAGGGGAAAGGATTATTTCTCTTGACTTTACCTGGGGAGAAAGGTACAAAAATGAAAGTCCCTTTCACCTTGTATAAATGATACATGAGTGATTAACAAGATTTTTTTTATCCTTTATTTTTATATTGTTTCATGTACTTTAACGCAATTAGTAGAGACCAAGGTAATGCATGCCAGATAGAATAGAAAAGTGCTACATGAGACCCGGTCCATTTAACTATCTATTTATTATTTACCATCCAGAGTAAGTATCTGATTAGTGGCCATATTTCTAAGATTTTTAGGGCCTAGTACAAGAACCTCTGTTTTATCTAAATTTAGAAGCAGAAAATAAAAGGTCACACAGCTCTTTTTTGTCTCTAGGACATTACTTCAGTTTGACTAATTGGTATTTGATATCTGGCTTCATGGGCAGATAAAGTTAGGTATCATCAGTATATGCTATGTCTTCTAAAGGAAACGTATGTAACATAAACAGAACTGGTCCTAGCACTGAACCCTGTGGAACTCCATAATTAACCTTAGTGTATAAAGAGGATTCTGTATTTACATGAACAAATTGGAGTCTGTTAGATCAATATGATAAAAACCACTGCAGCACAGTACCTGTAATACCTACGGCATGCTCTAATCGCTTTAATAAAATATTATGGTCAACAGTATCTGACGCTGAACTGAGTTCTGGCAATGGTTTAACTACTGCCGTGAGCCTTCAGCAAGTGACCTAATTTAAACATTGTATCAGACTAAGTTGACAGTTCCTCTGTATGTTTTAATGCAGCCTTACTTCTGTACATTTACTGTATGAAACAAATGGCAGTGGATGGAGCAGCTATGAAGTTCACTTTTCTTCACATTCCAATTTGTTGCAAAAGTGATTTTTTTTATAATAAAGCTATTCAAATTATTCAAATCTTTGCAGCCCTAGATCAATCCATCTCTGTTAAGAATTGTTAAAATGAGTGTGATGCTATTACTAAAATAACTGATAGCTACAGCTCTAGATTGATGATATTTAAGATTGAAGCATTAATTAATGGTAGGACTTTGATGAGCAGTCTTGTGGGAATGGGGTCTAAATGACACGTATTGCTTTTTGAGATTAAATAGAACAGGATACGAAGCATTAAAACATGTTAAAAACACAAAAGCCTTATTAAACGCAGTGTTGGGCCCAGAAGTCTTATTAAGTCCTGTTAAATAAAACCTTAAAGTGAACGAGGGCTTACTTTCTTCTTCACATGACTCTACCTCACCTTCTTTGCCTCCATCATAATTACTTTGACTTCAGAATGCAAAAATAAGTCGTTTTTAAGCATTTGCTGTGACCAAATCTCTTGAGGTTGCTTAACAAGATAACATCATTATGTGTTACAGTAAGCTGTCACCGGGTTGGACTCATCATAGGCCCGTACTTAATGAATAATTCATCACATCCTCTCCATTTTTGTGCGGATGCTTTGAAACCCTGTCCAGGCATGCATCATTTAGACCTCCAGGCTGTTTTTAAGAGCAACTCAGTTTTGGTTGTTCCTTCCACAACTGACAGAGATCAGAAATAGAGGCCAAAAACAAGTCACTGCAGCGTCTTGATCTATATATCTATATATCTATATATATCATATCTCAGCAATTTTCAAGCAAAGCTCCTCCTGGATGAGAATTACTTTCTACTAACTGATTTTTGCCAGCATAAAGACTTTTCTTCCAAAGCACCTGCAGAGTGAAAGGATCCATCCCACAACATTAGGTGAGTAAGGATGGCAGTGTCTGATGACTATAAAGGGAGGGGTGCCATTGGCTGCATGGCATCACAGAGGATAACTGCACTCGGTCCCCTTCTGTTTTTAGCCTCATCAGCTACACTAATGAACTCACTGCATTTTCCCCTCTGCTTCACTTGTCACATATCCCATTCACTCAGGCTGACTATTAAAAGACATGCGGTGTTTGTTTCTGACCTCTTAGCATCAGAGTACTTTTTTTGCCTAAAACCTTAACACTACTGTGCAAACCTGTTAACCAGCACCTTATCAACAACATTGCCAGTGCAATAAAAAACATTCATAGAAGAAAAGGGACATAGAAGAACACCATCAGTCATGAAATGCCCTGCCCAGAACCCAGACCTCAACATTGTTAAAGCAGCGTGGCATCATTTTGACAGAGAATGAAGGAAAAAGACAGAAACATCAAAGAGATCTGAATGAACCCTGGACACCTATTCCTGAAGTATTATTTACAGAAATCACAGAAAGCTGCCTGACAGTGTTCAGGTTGTGCTGAAGAATAAATAAGAAGACTTTTGCAAGTATTGTACATTGTGCATATTCTTACAGATATCCTGTTTGTATTATGTGAGTATAAAAAAATGATAGTGATGACATCCAAATACCAATGATTAAAATGTCCTGCATAGGGAGCAGATTTAACAGAAACAGTAAAACCCCCGAAATGGAACCTTATGGCACACCGTAGGAAAACGATAGGAAGAGTATGGAATTACATTTCTATCAAAAGTCAAGTGTGACAAAAAATACAATTCAGGCAACTAATTTAATTTCACGGGTGCAGGTAGATGGATAGGAACTCAGCAGCCACACACACAAAGAAGTCATCCCAACATGGGCGTGCTGCTTTCTTGCATTTGAGCAATATCTTTAAAATTAGAAATATCCGCTTTCATCATTCGTTGAAAACTGGTTCATGCATTTATTACTTCTAGGCTGGACTACTGTAATTCATTATTAATGGGCTGCCCTACAACTTGTTGAAAAACCTTCAGTTGATCCAAAATACTGATATAGACTAGAAAGAGAGAGCATATTTCCCCCAAATTGGCTTCTCTTCATTGACTCCCTGTTAAATCTCAAGTCTCCTCACAGATCTCATAGTACCATATTACCCTAGTCTAAGACTGCTGGCTGACTTGTGGTTCCTTGAACATTTAACAGTGAAATGGGAGGCACAGCCTTCAGCTTTCTGGCCCCTCTTCTGTGGAACCAGCTCCCAGTTTGGATTTGGGAGCTGGTTCCACACTCTCTGCTTTTTAGTCAGGGTCACTATAGTTAGTGACCCTGACTCATCCCTTAGTTACGCTAAAATAAGCTGGTTTAGGTCATCTTATTAGGTCTAACTGTCAGACTACGCTAGTGACGTGGATCCTGGTTTCCTCCACGGACATGACAATGCATACCCTCATGTGAGGAGACTAGGGCTGCAGCTATCAATTATTTTAGTAACCAAATATTCTATCAATTATTCCATCAATGAATCGAATAATCAGATAAGAAATACTTTTGTTTTATTGATGAGCAATAATGAATGTCTTGATGCATGCTCAATCATCCAGGTAAGTAAATCTCCAAAAGTTGATTCTGTTCATCTGGACATAGTGTTTTCAGTGGGAGAAACGTTTCGTCACTCATCCAAGTGACTTCTTCAGTCTCCAGAAGTCTCCTGAAGAAGTCACTTGGATGAGTGACGAAACATTTCCCCCAATGAAAACACTACGTACAGATGAACAGAATCAACCTTTGATGGGTAATAGCAAATATTCAAAAGAGAAAAAAATTCAGAATGAACTGCTAATTGGGTTCCATTTTAGAAGTTGCAATGTTTTAAAGTTTACCAGCATAAGACATCTGTTAAGAAAAAAAAAACAATAAAAAAACTTAAATGCTAAATTTTATATTTATATATATACTATTTACTCGATGAATAGTTGCAGCCCTGGATGAGAGCATGCAGGCAGTCCTGGAGGATGAATGAATTTATGACAATGTCTGCCCCCCATGCTTGCCTGACCTAAATCTGCAAGAACACCTAAGGGACGTCATATTTCACTGCATCTGACACTGCCAGGTTGCACCTCCGACTGTCCAGAATCTCAGTGATGTCCTGGTCCAGGATGGTTTCCTGTGTTCTTGGGCCACTTAACACAAACTTTAAAATGTGTGAGGGATTGCCTGAATTAACACTTAGGAGTGGATTTATTCAAGCATGGTCATAGGAAACAACATTAGTAGGGCTGGGCTATATCATACCGTTCACGGTAATACCGGTATAATGTTGGGCAACGATAGGAAAATGAAATATCGCCATAGAATATGGGTAAAACGCGCATGCGCAGTGCCTTTGTTTACATACGCACATGGCGGCGATGCAGAATGAGAAGAGCGAAAGTGGATCGTTGAATGAAACGGATGAACCAGAATTGGTTTGTAAAAATGCTGCAACTTCAGTGGTGTGGAACTGGTTTGCCTTTCATCCGTCAGATACACAACAAAGCACTATTTTTGGTAGCGCATGCTAGCGGGCCGTCGTTATTACCATGTTTTTTGGAAAATACAGCACACTTAAAATCAATCCTTTGATTTTTCTGAAAATCGACAGTGCCCCTTATAATCCCGTGTGCCTTATGTATGAATTCTGGTTGTGTTTACTGACCTGGAAATGATTTTATGTACACGGCGCTCGAAAATCTGTCAAATGTTTCAGTACGACTTTGCTAAGCTACGAACCCGCACCGCTTGATGGATTGTCGGAGCATTACGGCTATCGTAGGCGGAGCCTCGCGGAGTGATACGTACTGTGCTTCAACATAATATTACCGTATTGTGTGTGTATAACCTCTTTTTAAGTTTTGTGGATATTATACATGGTTATGCTGAGGATATGTCGGCCAATTTCCACTGGAAATGCCTTTTGTTTAAACTGTCACCAAGGAATTTGCATTTGCACTGTTACATTTTTCTATAACTTTAATGCACTTTAAAAAAGCTGCTTGTTTAAGTGAAAATACATTGATGGGTTTTTGTTTTTTTTGCACTAATAAAGTTGAGGAATTGTAAAGTATTTTGTCTAGTGTCAATTATATCGTCAGTTATATCGTTATCGCAAATTTTCAAATGTATGATAAATATTTTTGGTCATATCGCCCTGCTCTAAACATTAGCTCCAAAAAGTTAAAATTTCATGAGAATTATTTTTTGCAACCTGAAGACAACAAACACAATGCTAACTTGTGCTGCTATTAGTACACGCTAACTTAGTCTTAATTGTTGCTGTTCATAGCAATGAAAACAACTGTACAATATCCCAAAAAGTTGATTCTGTTCTGTCTGCATCTGAGGCTGAATCTCATGTGGTTCCTGTAATCACCATCTTACGTGCTGTTTGCTCATACTGACATACACATTTAGGCTGTCCTTGCCAAAGTGGGTTAGAATTTCTTGATGCATGCTAGATGATTGAGCATGCATCAAGACAAACTGTAAAAAACACAAAAATGAATCATGGATTCAGTCCTGCTCCTGTAGGTCATCTCTGTCCTGAATGTATTTTTAAAAAGAAGACAGAAGAGAAACAGATGCAGTAGAGATGTAGCCTGGTCACTTGAATTTAAGAAATTCCTTATAGAAACCTAAATATTCTCTAAATTAATGGAGTCGCATGGACACATACACATTCTCACAAACTGGCAGATTGGTGTTAGCATACAGTAGCTCTCCAATAAATGTAAGTCAGAAAAATTACACAATCCCAAAATTATCCCTGAGACTGACTATGAGACTCACTGGAGGTGAATCATTATCACCATTAAGCTCCAGTGTGGATAAAAACCCCATGCAGAATTACATAATTCTATAAAATATATTGAGTAGTAAAACTGAGTACTTAAAAGTCTTGAAAGACAAACAACCTACACGTGGTGAAATGTCCCAATAACACGAGAGGCGGTGTACACCCTGGACAGGCCACTAGCTTGATGCAGGGTTAGCACAGAGAGACAGAAACCAGTCGATTATGAGTGAACACCTAATCACCAGTTAACCTAACCCGGTTAATTACGTGTCTTTGGACAAACACATGGAAATTCCACCACACCACACTCCGCAAAGATTCCACAAAGTCAAATTGGGGTTGTTCTTGCCAGGAGGCAACAGTGCTAACCACTGCACCACCTGCCAACTAGCATGAAGGAAACCAAAGTCCATGGGGAGTATGGTTGCAAAGCTGAAACTTAAAAAGAAGGGGACAACCAGAAGTGTAGCCTGCACCGTTTTTTAACTCTAAATGGAGAAACTTCGCCCAGCCTGGACACTGCTACTATATCTGGTATGTTGACTGAGATTTATATAAAGCTCTTCTAGTCTTACTGACCACTCCAAGTGCTTTTCTACAAAAAGCCACATTCACACATTGATATAGCCCTTTATTCTTTGCCATAAATGCTTCAACTTTGCCACTCAGACAGTGACGGACTGGAAATTTGGGGATTTGGTATCCTGCCCAAGGACACTTTAATATGTAGACCTCTCTGATTTACCCTGAGATTGAAGGAGAGTGAATACTAATCTCATGTTCATTATATGGACACAAACGCAAACAGGTTTATGAGGTTTCAGCGTTGTTGTATTGTATTTTTTCCTATTTCTTAAAGACATTTTCCATAGATGCAAACAAAGAAATGGGCAGGTGTGGCTCAGGTGGTGGAGCAGGTCAGTGGATTGACTCCTGACTCCTCCAGTCCTACTTGTGCCCACAATTAACCTTGGACAATGTACTGAACCCTGAGCTGCTCCTGATGCATCTATTGGAATTTGAGTGTGAGTGAATGTTAAAAAAATGCTTGGGCATAGATTAAAGCACTGAATGCGTATGTATGGGATTGAGTAAATGAGACTTGCAGCAGGAAGTCCTGTGAGTGCTCAACAACAGCACCATAAAAGTACCAGCCTATGTAATAATAATGTGTTTTGTTTCCAGCAGCCTGCAATACAAATTCCTAAAGATACAATTTAAACTGGTTCTTTGAAAAGTTGCCTGTTATGTGTAGTCATAGGGTGTCTTTTCATGTTCGAATGATTCATAAGTCAGTGTTAAATGGATTTAAAAACAAAAACCATTCCTCTGAAAATCGTCAGGTACAAGGACTGGAGTGAAGATGAGTGGAAAAAGCTGACATTGTCCAAAAAAGCCCATGAGAAAGCTAAGAACTACTGAAACCAGTTAAAAATGACAAGAAAACCAGACTCCTTGGAAGCATGATATAAAGAAATGGTGGGTGTATGAGGGGAATTTAGTATTTTGCCCAGAAAGTTTGTACTGTGTGAAATATAATGACTTGATTTAAAAACAGATTAAATAAAGAGCATAAAGCAACTAGCCTGTATTACAGTACTGTCTTTAATCTTTGACAAGCTAAGCCATATTGGCTAAAGAGCTGGCATGTCCAGCAGGTGTGACTACAGGTGAAGTGTGCACAGACAGGCTTTTTAATGAACCACCCTGTGAGCTCATAACATCCTCCAGCGGGTGCAGGTGAGAAGGTGCTGTCAGAAACGCCTCACGCTAATCAGATCAGTGCATGGATTTCGAGTAAGGAGTCATACCCCTGCTGACCCCACCTCCTGCAGCTGCTCCAGCTCCACCCTTAGCGCCTCCTGCTCGGCCTCCAGGTCGGCGTACTGCTGCTTCAGGCTCTGGTTCTCCTCCAGAACCGCCAGTCCGCACTCCGCCGCCCGTATCTTCTCGCGGTTGGCCTCCGCCAGCTCCCGGGTCAGGCGCTCCACCTCGGCCCGATATTCCTCTACCGTATCCCCGCATCCTGCTCCTCCGGCAGCCATCGTTCCTCTGTCCCTCCCTCTGCCCTCTCTTCCCTGCGGCGGACGAACAGAGAGCCCTGCCAGAGGGAGAAAACAAGCCCCACCGCCTCCTCTGGGGGAGTCCCAACGTCCTGCAACTCAAACAGCACCAGCGAGCATCCACGGCTTTCACAGCGCTGCTGCCATCGCAGCGGGAGTATCCTCAGCCGTGCGATGCTCGGAAAGATGCGTCCTCTCTCTCCTCCCTCTGATTGGTTTTTCTGCTTATTCACCGGCAGCAGGACGCCATCTCTGCCTGCAGCCGTGAAGCAAGGCACCTTCCTCTCTCCCTGTCATCCTGCTGCACACTGAGCGTTTACAGTAATACATCCATGCACTCAGCGCCCTCTGGAGGTAAGAGTATAAATACATTCTTTCTGTTTTATGGGGGCGAACGAAACAAAGAGTTTTAATAGTTTCATTCCTGGTGTGAGATCTGCCGGTACCTCAACACTAAAAACTAGAAAGCATTCGCATACAGCTGCACGTTTTTTTACAGCCTTAGAGCTTTCACGGGCTCTTGAAGTGCGCTCATCCAAGTAACACTGACACTACGTGCTGTGATAATATTACATACATAAGTAATACAAATAAACAATCAATCTCTGTTTGAAATATTAGTATAAGTCCTGTTTACAAAGTAGCTTTGATGCCTTCCATGTCACAACGTTTAACTGTGTCTTTTACACGATGAAAAGTCTGAGTTAAAGTCTGAAAACGAAAACGAGCTGACAGGTAGCTCATGAAGAATAGTGGTGGGTAGATCAACCCAGGTATTGATAATAACGATAGATATTTATAGAACATTTCAACTATAGAAGCGCCATTAAATAATTATACATCTAATAAATAATGACACACTGCTCTCCCCCACATAAGCCTCCTTTATGGGTGAAAGGTATTGGTATGGACATTACTGTCCGTTTTTACTTGATAACAGATCGATATCAACATTTCTCTCAGCACTGCTGAAGAAGCCTTTATTCAATATTTGTTCAATCAAAATTTAAAAAGTATCAATGTCCGTTAGAAGCGATGACACTTTTACTATGAAAGGCATCGGAAGTGTTATCGTCATGATTAGCGGAACTGGCGTAACACACCGGCAACATCGTCGTCTCTATGGTTGTTTGGCCGTGTCGCACGTTGCTAGTTAGTTGCAATGTTGTAGCTATTAGCACGGTAGCCGTTCCTTCGCTGGAAGGTAGAGCTGTACGACAGACCTACAGTTTATTCTTTCTGATTCACAGTGTGAGCAGCAGCTAACTGCTATCCAACGGAACATAACCTACAAAGCTAGCTTGTTATCTTGTTTTCCTTCTACTCCGCTAGTTTTCCTAGCTTGCTAGCTAGCCGCTAGCATCCAACCGTCTCCTCTATCAGTGCAAACCGTCTCCCGGCCGGCCGGAGGACCATGGCGATGAGACAGACTCCCCTCACCTGCTCCGGTCACACCCGGCCTGTGGTGGACCTGGCCTTCAGTGGAATTACTCCTTATGGATACTTCCTCATCAGCGCCTGCAAGGGTGAGAGGTGTTGGCAGGACTATGAACATAAAGTAGCCTGTGAGAATCTGGTGTTACTTCTGGACGTGGTCTGTTGCGGGTTGGGCTTTAAAATGAGCCCTTTATAAAACATGATGTTCTTCCATTGATTGACTTTGTGTCTTTGTATTGTTTTCTGGTGTCATTAAGTGTGTCTGTGTGCGCTCGGGGGCGCATATGTGTGTGAGCCTGAGAGAGAGAGAGGCACATGCGGCTAGCTTAACTACTGATGGTTTACCTTCCTCCTAAAGTTTGATCTCGAATTGTACAACTTTGTTGAAAAAGTATAGAAAAGATTACATCCTGTTTATCATTATCTGATCATGTCCTAAAGTCCATGATCAGATAATGATCGTCTCTGGGCTGTCAGATGGTATTCATGTCACTGAGTTGCTACAGATCTGCAACTAAACAGCCCTGAGAAAGATGGTGTTTGAGAGCAAACAGTGTTCCTATTCCTAGATTTACTAGGTTAAGTTCATTTTTTTCCTTTTCTTTCTTTTAGGAAGAGTCATTAATAGCTTGCATGGAGGATGCTGACTCACCAACTAATCAGTATTGAAGTGAGCAGTAGTGAAGCTGTTACAACTGAAGGCAAACATTTTCTGAACAGTGAAAGTGTGCCTTCAGTGTCAAGGTTGTGCCTAACTGTTCCGGGGTTAAACCAACACATTGCAAAAGATGCAGCTTTTGCTTTTTGTTTGCACTGCACTCTTAACTTTCACTACCACTTAGCAACTAATTGGCAAGTGCTTGCAGACAAGTCTGCATGTTCCATACAAACTGTGACGTGGCAGTCTGCTAGCAAAAAGAGCAACCGCAAGGAGGTTTTCAATGCAGTACCAACTCTTTACAACCAATTTTACCTAGCAACAACCAAATGTCACCCTAGAAGTCAGTGACCCCTGCTTGTCGCACGGTCAGCAGGACCTAGCAGACACCTGTGGATTATCCTTACTGCCCCCTGCCGTTACACTGTGATGCTCACATCCTCTCTCCTTCTCTCCATCAGATGGCAAGCCCATGTTGCGCCAGGGAGACACAGGGGACTGGATAGGAACGTTTCTGGGTCACAAGGGCGCTGTCTGGGGAGCCACTCTAAACACAGACGCCACCAAAGCAGCGACTGCTGCTGCCGACTTCACAGCGTGAGTTCACACACTCAGACTAAACTAGCCTGAAAGAGGCAGTTATCCTCAGTGCTCCTCTCTGTGGATAATCTGTCATGCATCCATTGGCAGTGTTGTATTGTTGTATGTACTCTGAAACCTCAGTTCATGTGTGATCTGGTCTCATTTCATTTCAAGATAACCTTAAACGGCTGTTTTGCTTCATGCTATGGTATTGAAAATCGATCACTTAGATGTGAGTGCTAGTACAAGCTTCAGGGACCTTTCTAGCTTGGCTATAGCAGTGACGTAGCCCACATGCCTTTGTGATAGACATGGTCACCATGGTGACCCTTGCTTTCCCAGCATCCTTCTAAGAAAAAGCTTTACACTGAATAAAGTAAAGCCATTTTTATTAGTGTGATCATGAGCTGAACTCTGTGGACAATAGAATATCTTGCTGCGCCTATTATTTCATTCTTATCTATCCCTTTGTTCCAGCAAAGCAAGGACAATTCAGTGACACAACAGCTAAATCTTTAGTCCCGCTAAATGTTCTTATTTTCCAAGAGTCTGTTATAAGCCAATATATTGATGTACCCGTCATTCTCACTGATTTGTAAGACGAGGCTCTGACTTGTTCTATCACATGTATGTCACAGAGGAAACAGTTTTGCACACTGAGCTTTGAATGAGTTTTCTGCATATATGTGTCTTCTGACTTTGTCTCTTGTATAAAGCAGCCTCTGCATTCACACATATTACACTGACACACACACACACACACACACACACACACACACACACCCAGTGTGAGGTCACTGTTAACAGCTCCCTTGTGGACTTTTGCAGAAAGGTGTGGGATGCAGTGAGTGGAGATGAGGTCCTGTCTCTGGCACACAAACACATTGTGAAAACTGTCAGCTTTACTCAGGTCAGTGCACTTCATCATGTGTTTCTGTATGTGTTTCTCTACTTGTGGGTTTAAATTGATGCACACCTTTCACCAAGAACAGAATACAGTTGATAAGGTAACATTTTAGTCCAGTCAGTGCTGTGAAACAAGTTCTTTGTCAATGTTGATCACTAACCAGAAGTTAACAGGCCCTGGCCTGCTCAAGTTCAAATCACCATTTAGTAAAAGATTTAAGATTTAAGCTCAAATGTTTAAGTAAACATTTGAGCCTGCATGCCCGTAGTGATTCTAGGGCCAAAGCTTTAGCAGTGTTCAGCTCCAGTTACAATGTCAGGCACGCGGTGCCTCGTAATAAATATTAGTTAAATATGCTGTTTGCAAAGATTCACCGGATGCATGTTACAGTATTGCCTTCAAAAGCAAACAGATTATCTGGATAACCTATTGTAGTGCGTGAGGTGTTTTCTCACCTATAGTTGGTTTCCTCTGGTCTGAATTGTTTGATGAGTTTGCAAACTTGTAGCTTTTCGAGCCAAAATGCAACACTACAAACCGCGTGAGAATGTTCAGTCTGCTCATTGGCTAGATGTGTCTGGGATGGAAGAAAGTGCTGTGTTGTGTATTATTGGAAAACTTGGAGAATTTACATTCATTTCACAGGTAGCTTCTAGCCCGTACAGACCTTTGCACATCTGTAGTACCTTGTTCCGTCCCAGAATACAAAGCATTCTGTTCATCAGTCTGAAAAAACGTTTCTCCCACTGAAAACGTTTGTGGGATTTTCTTACCTGGATGATTGAGCAATCATCAGGAGATGGCTACATAACCTTTTTTTAGCTCAAGCTTGTAATGTAGAGGTTTGGGTAGTTGGTTCTGATCGGGGTTGAATCACGTTGATTTAAATGAACTAAGCGCACAGCTGTGAAAACACCTTAAGAATCACTTAGAAGTTCTCCCACTCCTGGTGAACTCTAGAATAGTGTACTCAGATGGACACATTTGGGGCACCATGAATTTTGAATAAAGCACCACACTTAAAGAACTCAGAGCAAGTGTTTACCCACAAAAACTTCACTTTCAAAGTGAAAAAATAAATATTATACAAATACACACACACACACACACACACAAACAAGGTAGAGAACCCACAGAAAATGAGAGGGATTCAATGATGACGTTTGGATACTGGTTGACAAAGTGAGAGATATGGAGGGCACATGAAGTGGCAAGCTCCTGTGTCTGAGTCTCGGTGGGATCTCAGCAGTTTCACAATCACAGCAGCAGCTCCAAAGACTGCGAGAGGAGAAGGAGGAGAAAAGTGCCTCTGCAGACCACGCCCTGGCCTTTACAGCCATAACTTCACTATATCGCTCACAGCTCTGTGGAACAATGAAATGTGTCACTATCTGTGCTTTTCATGCTTTGTTTTTTGAGCTTGTTTTTTGCGTTTTGCCTCGTCCTCATTGAACTCTGCTATAGCTTCCTGCTCTATTCCGGCTCACTTATCAACCAATCAACATTCGGTAGCATGTCTCACATGGGTGACAAGTAGGGATGGGTACCGGTGTGGCACCGGTTCTGACATAAACGGTAGTAACCAGACCGAAAAGCAACGCACATTTCGGTGCTTTATTTTTCCTGAGCTGTGATACACTTTAGATTCTAGCCAATCATTTTACGTTTCCGAGGATAGTAGGCGGGGCCAGGTACGTACGTACGTTCTGTTAAAGCAGAGCTACAGATTAAAAATGTCCAAGGCGAAGCGGTTAAAAGTCTGGCTGTACTTCATAGCAAAATATGCAAACTCAGCAGCCTGCAACAAGTGCTTTAAGCTGATACTGTCAAAGGAGGTAACACCTCAAATCCGATGAAACACCTGGCGACGCATAGCGTTTTTTTTAAAAGCCCAGAAATGCGCCGTATTTGATAGCTTGCCGCGAGACCTCACACCGAGCACATCTACTGCGGGTGGGTTGCCTGTTATGCAACATCCCCCAAAAACACGAAGAGGAGAGTCCTGGCCCCTAGCCCTGCCAGTGTAGCAGAAATGATGACGGATGATGATGGCAGCAGCCGTTCTTCTCTGCGTGAGTAGGCTAACCACGTTATTACATTAATGCATGTAAGGTGAACTAGCAAACATCATCATAGCTACATGCTGCTGTCTTCTTGTTTAATGGCAGATACTCCCTTCACCCTGGCTAAAAAGGCTAAAATGACCAAAGAAAAAGTGGAAAACAGTTAAACATGAGGTTTAGGACAAAGTTTGTGTTTTTTCCATTGTTTAAGCACTGCTTCCAGCCAAGAGTGATACCATATATGCCCCATAGCTGCAGAAAAAGCACACATTGTTATATTTTTACAAAAAACAGCTGAACATGAGAGGTTTTTGGACCAATTTTGTGTTCTCCATTCTTTAAGCACCGGTTTGAGCACCGTTTGAGCACCGGCACCGTTTCAAAAGTACCGATTTGGCACCGGTATCGGATAAAACCTAAACGATACCCATCCCTAGTGACAAGCCCCCACGCCCTCACTCCTCTTACAACTGAAAACTGTTTGCAAAATGACACATGTGCAGGATTATAAATCTAGCTTTACTCTCTGTGCTTGTTGGGTGGGAGTGAAGAGCCTCCCATGAATACGTGCTTCTTTTTGACAGGACAGCAACTGCCTGCTAACTGGAGGTAACGACAAACTGCTGCGTATCTATGACCTGAGCAGCCCTGAAGCAGGTAAGTGGACATGCTCATGCACACACGTGTATGTGTGGACCATATGACCAGTACATGCTCCCACATATCCATATGTACTGTCGCTAGACCATTACTAGCCACTTGCTGCATGTACTGCAGAGCTGTGTGGGTGGTTATACAGCAGCCGGCAGCATTGGTTTGTGCTGGAACACACAGTAAGACTTGGTAAAATCACAAAATGATCTGCATGATCACTCTTTTGAGATGAAGCTGACAAATTCATCAAGTGTAAATAATTATATACAATGTAACAGTTTATTGTGAAAACTTCCACAGCAGCAGGTGTTACTATGGTAACTCATGAAGAAGGTGCCGTCTGTGCTGGTGGAGGAAGTTGCCTTTATCGATCACTTGTTTACAGTGAGCAGATGGTTACTGTCAGCACAGCTTGGAGCAGTTCACAGCTCACTGTAACCTCACAGAAAGATCCTGGACACGTCAAAACCTAGATATGCCCCAAAGAAGAAAATGCAGTTATGAAATTTTATGCCCTGAAGGTCAAAGGTTGAGCTATAGCAAGTGTAGAGGTAGCCTGCAATGTGATGTTTACTGAGGCACTAAACCAGGAGGAAGTGATTCTGGGTGTGGTATAATGTGTCTGGCTGTTGCTTCTGTGTCCCTGTCAGCTCCACAGGAAATTTCGGGCCACACGTCGGCCATAAAAAAGGCTCTATGGTGCAACAACGATCAGCAGATCCTCTCTGCTGCTGACGACAAAACCATCCGGTCAGTGCACTGTGACACACGCCCTCACCCGTCTTACCTCTCACTTCTGACAGTAGACATAGCAACCACTCTGTTCATGTGTGTAGGCTGTGGGACAGGAGCTCCATGGAGGAGGTGAAAACACTGACCTTTGACACGTCCGTGAGCAGCATGGAGTACGTAGCTGATGGACAGATTCTTGTGATCACGTATGGAAAGACCATCGCTTTCTACAACGCTCTGAGGTCAGCCTGCAGCCACACCCGTTCATTGTCAATGAGTGACGTGTATAAAACAGAGGGCATCCACCACCTCTATTAATGCTGATTTATTACTGACTTTGTTATTGATTAAGCATTCATCATTTATAATTTAAATTTGTTTCTATTTTTATTAATATTATCAAGCTTGGAATTGATCAAGACTGTGGAGGCCCCAGCTCCTATCAACTCAGCCTCCTTGCATCCAGAAAAGGACTTCTTTGTTGCCGGTGGTGATGACTTCAAGCTCTACAAGTTTGACTACAGCACTAAGGAAGAGCTGGGTGAGCAGCAGAGTGCTCCATTGTATCATGAAGAGGAGCAGTCTGACTCCTTTAATGAAATTAGAAACAGAACCTGTCAATACAGAATAAATGCAAGTCATAAACTCGTATTTTATTCACAACAGAACCTAGGAAACATATTGAATAATCGCACTGAGCAAACCGTTCATTTTGAATTTGATGGCAGCCACACAACTGTGGAAGAGAGGACAGGGCTGTGTTTCCCCCTGTGCACCATCCTCGCTTCTTTTAACTGCTGAGGGGACCAGCTGCTGACTTTTCTCACTTTTCCGCTGAGCCCCGAATGTCTCAGCTATCCAATACTTATGTCTGGCCTTGTCCCTTGCACACAGAGACGTCACCAGATTGTCGTAGTCTGTACACGATACAGTTTTTACTGAATGTGAACCTCTGGCTCTCTAACAGAAATGATCTTTTCATTCCCACTCGTGTTCCTGACCAGGACATTCCACGAGCTGATTCTTTTTTTTGTTTGTTTTTTTTCTTCCCCCAGTCTTTTGCTGCCAATGTGTTGCTGAGATCAAATTCAAAATGAGCGTAATGAAAAACATGTGTTGCCAGCGTGCTAGAGCAGGAGACTAATTTAAAAACATCTGGGTTCACGAGGTTCTGTTTTCATTTCAGTTTCACATATCCCAACGTTTCTGTTCTGCTGTCACTAGAGAGAGAGGGGGTTGTTTTTTTTTTGTTTTGTTTTGTTTTTTTAAACTCGCTGTTTGACCAGCTCAGCTCAGTTCATGACAGGATCTACTTACTTATCTGTAAATGTAAAAAGAAGGTTAAACCCTGATTCTTTGGTCAGTTACTCCTTTATGTTTTCATAGACCAATCGGAAACTGATGGTGCTGCTGCTCATGTGTCTGCAGAATCCTACAAGGGGCACTTTGGTCCGGTGCATTGTGTTCGCTTCAGTCCTGACGGGGAGCTGTATGCGAGCGGCTCGGAGGACGGCACTCTCCGACTGTGGCAGACAGCGGTGGGAAAAACCTACGGCCTGTGGAAGTGTGTCCTTCCTGGTAAGTCTGAACTCTGAACTGATGACACGTGTTCATGCTTTCATCTGGATTCAGTTACACTGTTGCACTGTTACTGTAATGACAGCAAAGTTTTTATAAAGATTAGAGCAATACAAAGCAGTCTTTGGCAACACTGTTTCAGTTGTGTGGTGTTGTGCACTGTATATGCACAAGAGACAAAGGTTGTGAGGCGGTGCTGCTGCTGACCAGTCATCTGTTCTGACCTCAGAGCTCTGTGAACTATCCATATGATGTTATACCACAGCGTAGCACATTTTTCAAACCATGTCATGACCACATGGAAAATACTCGAGTTTAAACTGTGGCAGCATGTAAAATGTTTGTGTATGTGTATATTTACAGAACATAGTATGATTATACATATGTGTGTGTGTGTGTGTGTGTGTGTGTGTGTGTGTGTACACACACATACGATGATATTACACTGTCATGTATCACATTGTTCTTCACTTCCTTCTCAGAGGACCTGGGGAGTGAGAACCCTGAGCAGCTGTACACCTCCACCCCTGAGATCAAAGCCTGAGGAGAGGGCGTCGCCTTCTGGAGCCTCAACGAGATCCACGAAAGGAGCCAAGTCCAGAGCATTTTCATCCATCAGAACTGATGTGGACACTAAGACTGGCCTGTCTGTCACAGCATCAGTCCACTCACCTGCACACCGACAGTCCATGGACAGCATGGGCTGCAGAGTGAAGCAGTAGAGCTGTGAGTGTGAGCTCGTTGCTGCCTGCTTTCTCTCTGATCAGCCCACTTCTGTCTGTCCTCTAACTTCTATTAATGTAGAGCCGCCAACCCCAAACTGCACGACGACGTCATCATCATCGGTTTTGGTTTCAGTGTTGAGGTGTTTGATGAGCTGGACCAAGGCTTGTTTTCTGTTCATGGTTACAGGAATAAATGAGTTAGTGCTCAAGTTCTGAGGCTTTCATTTCTTAAAGAAGCATTGCTTTGAGTATTTTACAGTGTTCTGCTTGAGTATCTAAAGTTGTTCTAAAGTGTCCAAATCAAAGCTAATATTGTTTTGTGACAAAGGAGAGGAGATTATTTCTTGTTTGGTTTCTGTCTTCATTTGTGCACAGTGATGAAATAAACTGAGCATTACACTTTTATTTGAAAGTAATGCACAAAGAAAAAGGGACTTTGAGCTTTTATTTCTTGACCGTCGCGCCTGCCAAATGTGCAGGCTTACTGTAAATACACACTCCAGATGCTGAAAAGAACATAACCATAACGTTTGCTGGTGAGGAAGGTCTGGGAGTTTCTCTGCTAACTACACTTTTTGTATTGAGTAAACAATAGTTCATCAGTTTCAGAGAATTAAATCTATAAAATAATGTAGCACTGGCTGACTTCTGCAACAGAGCTGATCATCAGGTGTGAACTAGAAAGCACAAATATCCATAACTGTGACATCTGAGCAAATTTTCAGTGACAGAACCCAAAAGGATCTTCGTGTCTAACATGATCACATTACATCTAATGGTGTTCCTGTATCCAGTTCCTCAGTGAGCAGTCTGTGAATGAAGAGCTGGATTTCACTGGGCATGAGTTCTGCGCAGTGACTGAGCCTCTGGCTCTGATCAGTCCCAGCTTGTAGCGGAAGGAGGTGGGCTTTACCAACTGCCACTTCCGGTCAGGACCGCGCAGCATTCCTCATTTCTTCCCACTTTAATTCCTTCCTTCTCCCGAGAGGAGGAGGGAGCGAGAGGATAGACAGCAGCTCATATCCACGTGCTTCTTTGAAGCACACACTACTCTGCCAGTTCGGTCCAGTGGGCGGCGCTGGTTGCCCGATCCGCCATCAGCGGCTCCGCTGTTTTCTGCTAGCTGTTACTTGCTGACCCGTTGCCCGGTCGTCTTCTCGCCGACATGCCGGAGTACCTGGGCGACCCCTCTGTGCTCACCAAGGAGAAGCTAAAGAGCGAGCTGCTGGCCAACAACGTGGAGCTCCCGAGCGGCAACCCCACGAAGGACGTGTACGTGCAGCTGTATCTTACGAAGCTGGCCGGCCAAAGCACACGCCCCGCGGCTGCAGCTGCGGACTCGTTCTCCAGCGACGAGGAGCTGCCTCCGCCCGCGCTGCCTGACACCAGCCGCTCCTCCGGTAGAGTAAGTGCTCTCCCACTCCCGTCTCATTTGCACACTTCCACACCCACCAGGATTACTCAGCCACCAAAATCCACGTTCTGAACTCGTCGTCTGTTAACTACTGTAAATGTTCGCAGCATAGTTTCGGATGTTCAGAACACATCCATCGGACACGGCTCACATTGAAACGTGCGCTCTCTCCTCACAGACATAACTGGAAACGTCATTCCGATTGAAAGTATAAGGCAGTCTCGTGAATGAATCGCAGAGCAAATCCAGATCACTTCCCACAAACCAGTCTCACAGGTCTCACCTCCCCACAGAGTTTCCTTCTTTGCTTCAGTTCCAGCCCCATCCTTACTAATCCCGCAGCAGCTGGGGACTCTCCATCGTGACGCAGAAGAAAGTTTTAGCGCACATACAGAAAAGATGTAGACAGAGACACAGACACAGATCTGTGAATGAAGGTTTCTGCCGACTACATTGAACTGGAACGAGAGCCTTTTGATAGTTTTCAGCTCTGCATCAGCGCGCTCATGTGCACAGCGGTTACTCGTTTTTGTAGGTGGGATAAAGAGTTTGAGGTTAGAGGAGCTGGCAGACATGCACTCAGTCAGGAAGAGATTTGTTCTGATGCTGAGGAGGAAATGGGACAAACTGGCAGGTGTTCGAACTGATGTCTGTTCAGGTCTGACAGAGCAAAGTGTCTGAAAACAGGAGTGACACTACTATTTAGCATTTTATTATAGACCAGGAGGCGGTGTTGAAGTCTGCAGGGTATCCTTCCTGAAGCAGCCCTCCCGCTTTGTCCCTTGGGGAGGCTGGCACTCCAGCCTGTTTTTTAGCGGGTTTCTCATGAAATAGCTGAATTTGGCTGTGACGCAGATTGATGATCAGTTCAGGTTGTAACAGAAACAGTGCATCTTACGCGTTTCCACTTTTAAAGTGAGTGGGATGTGTGCCCACTTTAAAACTACAGGCAGTACTAGATGATACTAGTATGTAGTTTTTATAAAAAGTACACATTTCCATGTTGTCCAAAGGCCTGATGTTTCAATAAGAGTATAATGATTGCAGAGGTGATGTGTGAGAGTGAATGAATAGTGGCATTGTAAAGCGCTTTGGGTGCCTTGAAAAGCGCTATATAAATCCAATCCATTATTATAACTGAGCCACCATGTGCTGTGGCTCTTGCAGTGAGTGTTTAGTGCGGTTTCATGGTTTAGGTGGTGGAGCAGACAGATGTTTTCCTGCAGCTGCTTACATTATCATTGTGAACATTGAGGAAATGCTTTTGCTAGGAAGAACTCCGACTCAGCATAGTTGGTGTCTTGGCACTAGAGTGTTGATGCCGTTTATCTTGTGAAAGCTGCTGCTCACATACCTGAGGGATTACAGGCTGCAAAGGGAGGTGCCCAAAAATGAATTCCTGACATTTTTCAGTGACTGACATGAAAGAGGATACTCGCTGTGACTCTTCGAGTCTGCAAAGCTTCATGTTTTCAGATTAGATGTTGGTCTGAATGAGATTTGGATGGATTGTTGTAAAGTGTGAGGAATGTGTGAGCGTCTGTCCAGGACTCTGTGAAGAGTCTGAGAGTCCACAGTGAGTTTGTTCCACAGAGCTGTGAGCTCTTTAGTTCAGTTATGGCTGTAAAGGCCAGGGTGTGGTCTGCAGAGGCACTTCTCCTCCTCCTCCTCCTCCTCCTCCTCCTCCCACTCTTGCAGTCTTTGGAGCTGCTGCTGTGATTGTGAAACAGCTGGGTTCACATCCAGCTGTTTCACAATTGTCATTGTTTCTAATACAGAGTTTCACTTCAGCTCTTTGTATGTTAGAGCTTTGCTCTCCCTCTGCAGACAGACGGCAGTTCGTGGAGTACAGTGGACAGCGAATGTGGTCGCTCTGCTTGACCGTAAATTCTACTTCAATAACCAGGAGTCACATTTTTATAGCTGTGCATTCAACACACACATGTACGCTCCTTTGGAGCCATGTAGCGCCTAGCTAAGAAGAAAGCTGAGGGTTCCTGTCCACCAACAAGCTATCGACAGCTGTCCTGTTGAGTCTTCAGAAGTATGATGTCGCTGCTGCATTCAGCAACATATTTACTGTACGTTTATTTGATTTGCTCCAAGGCAGAGCTGCCTTTAGTTTTGTTAATTAGGAGACACAGCATCATGCCACTATGCTGGCCTCACAAGTAATTTCCTGTCAGCCGCTAAGTAAAACTTCAGACTATGATGAAGCGCCTCCAGCATCTTCAGACGGTCCCATTCTCCTCCCTAAATATTTCCCCTGGCAGCTTCCTTTCAGGAAATTAAAGAACGTGTTTGTGTACATGAGTAAGTTTTCACATCTGCTCAACGGTGGTTTAGGAATGAAGTATTCATAAAATAACGAATCTTCCTGCATACTACTCCTGGATTTTTGAAAAAGGCTTTGCTTATGTGCAGTGACAGCAGTGTTATCCAGAACGTTACAGGTGGTAACCACCTTTCTGCTCTGGAAAATTTCTGCAGTTTGACTTCTGTCGTTCACATGAGTTCCCATGTTATGAGCAGAGTCCTTCTGCTACACTATTCCGGGTGACAGAGGGGGGGAGAGGGCTTTTCACCCATCTGAGACGCACTCCTGTGCACTCTTCCAAGATCCTGACTACACATCACCTGAACCAGATGACATAATTGTCTCAAAATGTTGGGCCAGAATAGAGAAGGAGCGATAGTGGGGTTCAGCACGAGGGAGAGAACTGCAAAAAAAAGAAAGAAATCCAGCACTAAAAGCACAGGCAGTGACTGCAGCGATATGTTTCCTTGTTTCTAACACAGAGTTTCACTTCAGCACTGTCAGGTTTAGAACTTCACTTACCAACAACACAAGCAGAGTGGCCCACAGACTGTACACTGCCTCCATCTGACCACAGAGCTGTCTGCAGGCAGAGAGGAGGTGCTACCTTTGACCATAAAATCAGCTTCGGGGAGAGAAAGAAGCATATATAACAATAGATGTACAAAGATATTTTAAGTGACCAACAACAGATTGGTTGGATTAGGGATCATGTTGGTACAGTAACACAGAGTCATAAAGGTACCTACAAAACGGGTAACTTCTTTATTGTATGTATAACCCCTTTGTAAATCCTGTTCACTGAAGTCTGTTAACCAATACGAATACATAAAAACACATGGAAACATCGGAATTGTCAATGGTTAGTGTTAATGTTTATGGTAACAATTTAATATTTGAGTGTTGTTGAATCAGCAGCTTTACTGACCTCTGACAGTCCTAAAGTTTAACATGATGCACGCTAACTACTCCAGCTGTAGGTGTGTGTGTCTGTGTGAGGCTGGCACTGCAACTGAGTATATAATTCAGTATTCATTTTTAATGTTGCTTAACGTCTAAGTATTTTTAATTTATTTTTGATGGCTTGGTGAACTTAGCAGTGTGTGTGCTGGTTCTTTGAAAATGAAACTGTGTTAGGTGACTCTTGTCAGTCATTACTTTGTGATTATTTGCCTTCAGGCTAAAAAAAATCTATCGCTGGCTCCGTTCTGGCTCTGATCATTTGTTTTGTGTGCTGCCCTGCTGTTTTCCACAGAAAGCCACCAGGAAAACAGACAAGGTTCGACCGACTGAGCTTGATGTGACTGCGCTGAGTGACAAGAGCCTGAGGGATGAACTGCTCGAGCGTGGACTAGACGTGGGGCCAATTGTGGGTGAGTGTAATCCTGCTCACCATTGCAGACACCGTAGTGGGCACAGAGACTGCGCTCACTGCGCATTTGTAAAATGACAGATGCAGACAGTCCCAGGGGAAAATTGGTTGCAAAGAGGGTGTTGCACCAAAAACGTTGTTGCTTTGGTCGTCAGCAAGGTTGCTGAGATTGCTTATAGTTTGCTTGACTGTCTGCAAACAGCATTTATTCTATGAGCTGTAGTGAAACTTGAAAAAATTAGGAAGGGGACAGATACTTCTCCCATTACTGGATTAACCAGGTTGGTTTCACTGCTACAACATCACCCTTGTCTTGTCCTCCCAGCCTCCACCCGGAAGCTGTATGAGAAGAAGCTACAAAAGTTGCTGGATGAAGGGCCTCCACAGCCTCCGCCACCACAGCTGATGCTCGTAGGCTCAGAGTCTGACCTCTACAGTGACAGGGAGGACGGTAGGAAGGACCCACGGTGCAGCTCATTCAGCGCTGCTGCACTTTAATGAGTGCTTGGATTTGAAATGTTCCCTCATCACCTATATGAGAAATGTGATATCGTGTGTTGATGAAAGGGGATGTTGTGTGTAGAACAGATGTCAAACGTATGTCCTGATACAGTTGTATCCGGCCTGCAAGATAATTTCATATGTCATTTATTGATGGCCTGTTAGTACGTGGGGGCTGAATCTTCAGCCCTGCTGAAAAATCATGGAGGCAGAGGTGGGGGCTTTATTTTGAGGGGCACAATCATATCACAATCAAATACAGACTGGGATCGTACCATTACATGAAAGGAGGAGGGGGGCAGACGTTCCAAGACAGCAGGTGCAATTTAGTTTTATTTATATAGCACCAAATCACAACAACAGTTACCTCAAGGGGGCTTTATGTTGTGTAACACATGATCTGCTGAGGCATGTATTCAGACATCTTTCTGTAGCATGGGGTCAGTGCAGCTCCAGCTCCTGACCTTTGTCTGCCACTATCTTGGAGGTTTTGAGGAAAAGGTTGCAGTGCTGGAGGTCCATCATCTCTCCTTTAAGACGGTCCTCCATCACATCAACCAGAGCCAGCTCATCACACGGGAGAAAATTCACTACTGTATTTCTACATATCCACATAGCCATATTAAAGGAGCTCCAAATTGCCTGCAAATTCCAGACTCTGGAGCTTCCCAAGACTCCAAAGATAAAGAAAAAAATTTGTTGTCAATTTGTTAATTCAATTCAGTTTTATTTCAGTTTTAACCACAGCAACAGTTACCTCAAGGCTGCAGCATTGCAAGGTAAAGAGCCTTCAGTAATACAGAGAAAATGAGAGCAATCATATGACCCACTGTGAGCAAGCGCTTTGGCGAGAATGAAAAGGCCACACCGCCTTTTAACAGGAAGAACTCTCCAGCAGAACCAGGCTCAGCGAGGAGCAGCAATCTTCTGCGTCCAGTTGGGGTTAGGGGAGGAAGACAGGACAAAGAGACGCTGTATAAGAGAGCCAGAGGTTAATAACTAATGATTCATCGTAGAAAGGTGTATGAACACATAATGAAAAATGGGACTGAAGAAGAAACACTCAGTGCATCATGGGAATCCCCCAGCAGCCTAGACCTAGGGTCACCTGATCCAGCTCTATGTGATTTATAGCATATAGTTACTACCTGAACTATATGCCCTAACAATGGGCGCAGAGCCATTGCAGGGGGGAGGGGGTAAAGAATTCTTGGACACTGCTAGCATAATGGACATGTTTTTGACAATGTAACAAAATCTAACCAGTTAATGTAAAAAACAGTTAACCTGGAACGCCAGGGCTGAGCGCTCGGTACACTCTGTCAGCTGTTAGCAGAGCTAGCGACATCTCTACCACCAGTTCAAAGCAATCAGATTATCTAGGATTGACCTGTCTTGTTAACCCCGCCCCCTGACTTTGATGGGTGAGGCTGACCAATAAAATTAATTCATGAACACAGCAGCAGGGTCAGGAGTGCCAAAATGAATTAAAGAGATGCATCATTAAATAATGAATTAAATGTGTCAATAATTAATAAAAATTGGAAATGAATGAATAAATAAGGTATTAAATGTTTTAAATAGTGTTTTGTGTGACTGTCCGTTTTGCCAGAGGTGATTGCAGCTGGTGGTCCAGAGCCTGTGGAGGAACCAGAACCAGCTCCTGTGGTTGAGAGAACAGTGAGGAGCAGAGAGAAGACGGTCATGTCCACTCGCAGCCAGCACGCTGCGGTAAGACGAGTGTTCACCGCACTTACAGAGAACAGACCTGTCACTCTTTCCGCTCAATGTCCGTCACTGGCAGCAGAACAAAGGGATGTCTGGTGCTCTGTGTCAGTGCCCGGCTGCTGTGTTAGTAGAGCTGCGTGTCGCTTACTCACCGGGACCCCCTGTGATGGCTTCCACTCATCTGTGACGGCAGCAGCTTGACACGGACCGTTCATAATTCCACTGCTGGTCACTCTTTAAAGCTGCAACTCTGTTTGTGTCACACCTAGAAACGGGCTAAGCGGTGAGGGGAGTCCCAAAGAGGCTCTTAGGTGTCCGTTACTTGATAGCATCCAACGGTAATCTGCTCTTACCCATGTTTACTTTGTATGCCGTCAATGCACTGTAGCGGAAAGTGCGTTCAGAGAGGTTCTCATGTTTTTAATGGTTCTGTTCTTCTTGACTATTAGGTTTCTAGCCGAGAGCAAGGCCACGGGTATTGTGTGTGGAGTTCGGAGGGACCACATCATGCGTCCTTTAAAAGGCCTGTAATGAACCAGGCTCTGTATCTCTTGCTCTGTGCTACATATGAGAAACTGCTGAAAATTTACCTGCTAAATTCTCATAGAGCTCTTATTCATGTATGAAAAGACGTACGTGAATATGAAATGAAATTTATACTGCACCAGAAAAACTAAAGTACAAGTGTGGAAGTGACCCACAAGTCTTTGCTTCAGGAACAGGACTCCCTGCTCCTCTATCAGTGAAAGTGGAATGGTTCCAATGACCGGACTTTTTGGATTTTGGCGATCAAAGCTGTATGTGGCAGCAAGAAGCAGATCATTGTGACGTATCATGCAGATGTAGTAAGTGTAATATAGTGGGACCCCTGCAGCTGCCTTTAATCACAGTTTCCTCTGACACGGCATGGTATCTTCTTCATCCTCGAAGCTCAAGTGCACTCACTCAAGCTCAGTGTGAGACTGCTTCAGTGGATCAGCTTGCTTCTAGTCACACTCAAACCACATGATGTGGATTAATTTCTCCACAGTGCCTGTGATATCTGTCTGTTTGTGTCCTTGTTTACTGGAGCCACCTGAAGCAGTCCACTTTTAGCCCTCTCCCCACTCTGTCTGTACAGTCAAAGCTGCTTAAAGAGCAACATGGCCAGACTCATTTGAAGAAATAACAGCAGTGTGAAGTTATGTAACGTGAGTGCTGTGATCTGATACTGTGCTGCTGGTTGTAGCAACAGAACCCCCTGCTGCTCAGGCACTGCACATGCACCTGCTGAGGTGTTTTTCCATTTCATTTCTACCAGTGTTGCCATGATTTCAGTAAGTACAGTTGTGAATATTGTGGAGGTTCTCTCATTGCTCCGTAATCAGATTAAGGGAAGTTAATGAATATAGCGTGGTCTTCAATATGCAGTTCACTTAATTTACTTCCTCCTGCTGAAGTAATAAAACCACCATCTCCTTTTCTTAATTTAAAAAATTCAAGACAAACTTCAAGTCAATCTGGTTTATGCTGCTACCAGATAATCTGAATTTCAAAGGGTTCCACTGACAAATTAACGGGACTTCATTAAGAACACAGAACCCTTTACGAGAAAGACTGAGGTCCTTTACTTTCTGTCAGATGAAGGCCAGCAGCAGGCTGAGGGTGGCAGATGTTGTGAAAAATCATTTGAATATCTAAACCAAACTGACTTTCTGAGATTTATTTAAAAGAAAGTTAAAACCTTTGCAAAGGCATGAACGGGGTTTATAAAGGTCAATTAATAACAGCTCCTTTATACCCATCGTGTGGATACAATGTTGTCTGTTCAGCTGTAGGCCTGGGACTCTCCAGCAGCCTCTTTGATGAGAACTTAAACTTCTTCACAGACCTAAAGAGGTGACGTTGTCTTCTTTCTCAAGCCCTCTGAAATGAACCGGCTTGAAGTGGGAGACACGGAAAGTGTTGTGGATCGTCACATTTCTGGATAACTCAAGACAGTTGAGAGATTAAGAATTGATTTAACCACAAAAGGACGAATAAAGCAAAGCTCAGTTTATCTGGGAAGACGAGCACACTCGCTGGCCTGTTTTGGACTTGGGACCAGAGTCCCGTGGTACTCAGCCAGATGTTTGTTTTACTGAAAGGTCCCGGGTAAGGCAATGCGGGTGGTGCTCCGTATGCGACAGCAGCATCAGATAGGGTGTTGCTTTTTCCTTCGTTGGCACAAAATGAGGCGATCGATGTCCAAGGGAGGCATCGAGGGGGAGAAGTGAGTGGCAGAGGAGGACACGATGGGCTGTGCATCTACACTGTCCAACAGTGTGTTCATTTCCCAGCTTAACCTTGATTTCTCTTGTCTGTGTAGGTGGAGAAAATCGCAGCCAGTGATCAAACCCTAAAAGTAGACGAGAAAGACGTTCTGAAGGAGCTCTTTCTTAATGACCGGAGCGGTCCAGCAGGAATCACGTAAGTGCAGTCGGCTGTTCTTTTCTTACCGGAAATGAAGTTTGATGTTTTTAGTCAGCAGTAAAATAAATATTCAGAGATCTTCTAAAGTTGGCACCACAGAAAGCAGGACATGAACCCCAGAGCGAAAGTAAAAGATATTAAAATTACTACTTTAACAAGTGTGAAGGGGCCAAATACTAGTCCATGGCATTGTAAGTGGAGCAGAAGTCTCTACAGTGTCTTTTAACTTGGCATGGCCAGGGTCAGTAAGTGCTGTCATAACAAGGATTTTTTTTGACAGCAGTTACTGGATTGACCGAGACTCAGAACAGTGGAAAGTCCAGTACATTATCTGCTCTACATGACGAGCTGAGGTCTCTGTGAATATTAAATCTTAAATGTTTCTCTTGTAGTGCCACCTGTCGCCGGCCCATCCGAGGAGCAGCAGGGCGCCCTGTGACATCCAGTGACCTGTGGAGTGATGACAGCCTGTTCTCTCCAAAAGCCACCAAGACCAGCATCTCCTCCTACACTCAGAGCTACTCAGTAAACAGAGTATCCAGCCTGCCACCCAAAACCACCTCCTCCAGCCTCCCGCCTGCAGGGCAGACCCAAGCAGCACAGCGCAGCATGTCTCTGTGGATAAAGCTCTTCCTGTTGGCCATCGTGGCCACTTTCCTCTTCCTCGTTTACCAGGCCATGGAGACCACCTCCATAAACCCATTTCAGACCTCAGACATGGAGGTGGCTGCTGGTAGCACAGCATAGAGAGCACAGCTGGAGACTGAGAGGTGAAGAAGACTTAGTCTGCTTTAACTCGTTCATGTTTCATTAATGTTTAAGTGTGTTAAGTGTTCTTTACATTTTGCTGCGATCACAGATTTTGTACTATTCTACTTTTTTGCCCTCATTTCTGAATAAGCTTTTATAGAGAAGAGAAATACATTTCAATGACTCTCATTGTGAAAGCACCCAGCAGCCCTGTCTGCGGTTCATCCTTAAGCTAGGACCTCAGGTGATGACGAAGCCAGTCACTAATCAACACACACAGGAGCTTTCAAAGACACAGGAGCCTCGTCGTTTTGTTTTTAGTCGTACTTGCATGGTGTGAATGTGTGTGTGATTGTAACTTTTCAAAATATGCCTTAGTATCTCTGTTCTTAACAGTCTTTAAGAGTCTGAAGCTGCTATTCTGGTTTGTACCTTGGACCATCTTTGTTATTGAGACACGGAGGCTTCTTGTTATAGTTCAAATGCTTTTTAAAGCCTGCCCCACTATTTTCCTAATCTTCTCTTGTAATAAAATTTTATACCCAAATACA